GAGGAAACTGAGCCTCAGAGAACGGGAGTTGTTTGCCCAAAGTCGCAGAGCAGTTAAGTGGAGGAGCTGGGATAGCCTCGAGGAATCTGGCTGCTTAACCAAGAGTGTCTCATTTATGACATATGCTCAGGGCAGCCACTGTTACAGCTGCGGGATGTGTCCCACCCGTTCTCTGGTTTCTGGCAATGTCAGGGGCAGGCCCATCATCCTATATTCTTCCCTAACCAGCAGTGGCTCCTGGGGAGTTCCCTGGGGGCTCTGGGGTTTAGCAAAACTAGAGAGCACGCTGGGGCCGCTGAGGGGCAGTGAAGCCCTGGGTACCCTGGGAGACAGTCATCCTGGAGGAGCCAACCGTTTTCTTCTCCTTCTCTGGTCACCTCCTCCTCCTGCTTCCTCTTCTCCCTGCTCTGAGGGGAAAGGACCAGTTTCCTGAGGTCTGACTCAGAGGGGCTCAGAGCAGAGGAGCTGATGAGCTCATCTACAGCAAGATGTCAGTGGTCCTATGTCATCTTCTCAGAGGCGTCATGTGGATGAGAGATCCAGAGCAAGCGCAGTGCTTAGCAGAAAGACATCACTTTTAAAGATGCAAGTTCCTCAGAGTAGTTAAGGAGCTTGCCCAGGGACACACAGTATTAGACCGAGCTTTGGAACTGCCTCTTTTCACCAGCCTAAGCTGTTTCTCCAGCGCTGGTGGCCAAATCAAAGAAAACCAAAAGGAGTATTTCAAGCACTGTGTAAGGCTGTGGTTCTCAACTCGGCCACGCGTCAGAGTCACCTGGAAATCTGATAGGGAGCACAGAGACCAAGGCTCCTCGAGGCGAGGACAGCACCTGGGCTTCAGAGTTCGTACTCAGTTCTTTGAGTGACTCATAATCACCAGAGTTTGAGAATGACTGATGGACAATAGGAAGGATTCCAGACTTTTTGACTAATAAGCCTGTTTTTCCAGGCTTCCACCTTTTGCTGTCAAGTATCGTCCTGGGAATGTGGGAGGCTGGTAGGTAGTTGTCGAGTGAATAAATGAATGAATGAACAAGTGCGTAGTAAATCAGTTAACACAGAGGATTGCCCAACTGGAGCCCCACTGAGGCATGTCATCGCTGCGTCTGCGATCCAGTTTGGGGCCCGTTTTCAGAGCAGCCACACAGAGAAGAGCCTGAGTTTCACATCTGCGAGTTACTTTGAGAGTGAGGTCAGGGTTCTGCTAGAAAAGAAATACATGCAAATAAATAACTTTCCTTTGGGTCAACAATAACTATTTTAAAAAATATAGTGGAAAAAAAATCCCATTTCATTCTTAATGAGACCCCAAATTAGTCACAATAAAATTAAAAATCTTTTTCTCAAACTAACTTCTAACTTTTTTATTCATTTATTATTTTATTTTTATTTTTTAAAATTTTTATTCGTTTGTTTGTTTGTTGAGGAAGATTGGCCCTGAGCTAACATCTGACACCTATCCTCCTCTTTTTGCTGAGGATGATTGGCCTTGAGCTAACATCCGTGCCCATCTTCCTCCACTTTATATGTGGGACGCCTACCACAGCATGGCTTGCCAAGCGGTGCCATGTCCGCACCCGGGATCTGAACCGGCGAACCCCGGGCCACTGAAGCAGAATGTGCGCACTTAACCACTGCGCCACCAGGCCAGCCCCTCAAACTAACCTTTAACTTTAAGAATGTTCCAATTAATATCCCAAATGAGCTTTCTTGAAACTTGTCAAAATGGTTTTGAATTTCATCTGGTAGAATAAATAGCCAAGAAATATTTTTAACAGGAAAATAATCTGGGAAGACTTCTACAATGATAACGTGTATTATAAAGTGATGATGATTTAAGAAACATGAGGGTAGAGCCAGGATTAGCAAAGAAATGAATGAAAAAACCAGATAGCCACCAAACAGAATTTGTTTACGTCTAGGTACTTAATATGTGATAAACATGGCATTTCCAATTCAAGGGAAGATGATTATTTTTAATAAGTGATACCGGTATTGCAATTTATAAAGTCTATTTGAAGCAAAAGAAAACTAATCAACAAACCACAGGTGCTGCTGTTTTTCCTGGAAGCCTGGAAAACGAGGCTCATCAGCCAAAAAGTTTAGGATCCTTCCTACCGTCCGTCAGTAGTTCTCAAACTCTGGTGCAGATCAGATTCACTCAGATGCTGCCTTCGCCTCGTTCATCGGGAGAAGAGGTGCGGCATCGTAGGAAGCCGTGTGCTCTCTCTGCCTGGAGGAGCTGGGCTCAAGTCCTAACACTGCCACTTATCAGCTAAGCCCTTTGGACGTGTTGCTGGATCCATTTCCTCGTCTGTAGAATGTGCAGAGTGATGGTGCCCACACGTGGGTGATCGTGAATATTAATGGTGTTGCCGGGTTCTTGGCAAATAGCAAACTTTCAGGAAGTGCTACCAAGATCCCCAGCTTTCATGCTTCACCATGCTTTTGCGTTCTCAAAGGACTTGTTCTCAGAATTTTCCTGAGGGGCATGAACCCCAGTTGTTGGATTCTGCACGACAGCAGTGGCTCATCCGGGGGGTTCCTGCCGTCTGGGAAAGGGGGACAGGAGGAGGGTGTGGCAGGGACTTGGCTCCCGGCCCTGGGATGGCGACCGATGAGCTGGCTCTCACTTTGGAGATGCAATTCACCCTTCAATTATAGCGTTTCCCCCCAGACATCAACCTAAACGCAGAGTGCGGCTAAGGCTTCCATTTTAAGACCGTGATTGGCAAGGTTGGCCCTGAAACCCCATCATAGCTCTTCTCCCAAATTGCAGGATACTCACCATCTAAAAATATGCAGCTCAGCTTGGTCATGTTGCAAAAATGCCACTTGTACTGACCATGAAAATAGCAACATGTGGAGGATGCTCGAGAAGATGAAAGCCCAGGGTCTCTTGCAGGGAAGCCGTTCAGAAGGACGTGGTGGCTCCTGATTCTGAGGATGGCCCTCCGGCTCCAGGTCCTCATGCTGAGTCCCATGTGAAAATTGTTTGCATTATTTGGCAGCTTCTCTGGATAAACTTTTCTTCTCTCTCTTTTTCTTTTTTCATTAAAAAAAAAAAAGGTAGTGATGCTGGGTTGTTATGCTACTTTATCTACCATTCTAATTTTAGTGAGCGCCCTCCCCGCCAGTGCTCTGCGTGTCAAAGACAGATTTGAGATAAAAATGACAGGCTTCCCCATATAGCTAAGCACATGGTGCTATCAAAGGCGATGACCTTTTCCTATCTGGGGATAGTTTTCCAGAAAAGATGCTCAGCTACATAGGAAGCTCAGAGGGGACGGAAGGGGCGTTGGCTGAGAGTGAGAGGCCTGGTTCTCTCTCTGGCGTGGTCACTGTCTCCCTCTGTGTTCTTGGTAACCTCTCTCAGCTTCCGACTCCTCGTTTATGAAGCAGATGTTAGAGGGCCCCCCCCGACCCCTTGTCCGGGGCACTTGGGGGATCAAATGTGGAGACGTTTCACAGATGGGGAAACTGAAGCGATGGAGGGACACCCCCAAAGGGCTTGGCTGATAAGTGATGGTGCCGTGTAAACTGTCAAGTGCGAGACCTAAGATTGCCCCGGGGTTCCGCTCTCACAAGGTAGATGCTCCCTAGTATTTATTACAGGGATAAACCGCTGTGATCTTCTGAAAAAGAAAAAGTCAAAGACAAAAAGCAAAAATAAATGAATAGAAAGATTTTCACCACTAACTGTTAGTGATGCACCCACTGAACAGCACTCTGGAATGTTCTAGAATCAGCACTCTCGAATGATCACAGAGGCCTGTGTTGGGAGGCGGCATTTGCCCTCTCGAGGGCTATTTGTGGACAGACTAAAGCACCCGTCGACCCAGACCGGCAGTCCTTCCTCACAGTGGAAGCTTAAGCCCCCTGTTGAGGGCCACCTCTGTCCTCAGGGGACACAGGGGCTCTGCCAGATGGCTTCACCTCTGCTGAGCGTCTCCCTGGCAGCTACACCAGCGTGTCCTTCTGTCCTGCTGTGACAGCATGTCCTACGTACAGGACGGTAGCGCAACGGAAGGACACAGGCTCTGTGGATGCAAAGACCTAGTTCCGATCGTGTTCTGCTCCTTATGAACGATGCGCTGCTGGACCAGCCCTTTTAACCCTTCCGTGCCTCGTTGTCTTCCTCTTTAAAATGGATGTCTTAGCTGAGGTTTCCTGGAAACAGGCTCTGTGATGGAGATGTGCGTGCAGGAAGTTTGGGGCACAGCTGTAAGGAAGCGAGGGGGAGGGATCAGGCAGGGGGCAGGTAGAACTGCCATATGAACTGGACAGTGGCCCCTTCAGAGCCCCTTTTGAGAAAGGGGCGCTGGGCCTTTGTATACCCATATGGACTAGTTTTTGGACCCAGGCTGACCCTGGGGAGGGGAAACAGCTCGCCCAGACAGAAGGCAACTCCTGGAGAGGGACTCAGCTGGGAGCCCCCAGCCGCTAACTTCCCAGCAGTTGGGGAGATGAGAACCTTGGTCCTGAGGGTGGCCTGGGCAGCAGGCCACGGTGTCTGCTAAGGAGAGCAATGGTCCTTTCTCCCCCTGCGGGCTGCGGATGATTAAATGATGGCATGTCTGTGAAGGCCTGCAGACAAAACCTGGTAACACCTACTGATAGGCTTGTTATTGGCACCGGTACCCAGCCTTATTCTAATTGTTGCATTATAACGACTGCGTTACGCTGTTTGCCTTGTCTTTCTGACTTCTCTCCCCTTCTACTGCAAGCTGCTAACTAGAAACTCTCAGACTTTGTCTCTTTTGTTTTGTTTTTTACCTTTGTATCCATAGGCTTGAGCACAGAGCTTGGCTCATCAAAAACTCTTAAAAAATCGTTGTAGACTGGAGTGATAGATAAAGGAGGGGATCACACAAGAATAGAGACCACAAGGAGGGTGCCCTGGGGCTGCCCTTTGGGGGCATCAGGTGGCCCTCCTCTGTCTTCCTCATGCCCCGGGTGGTATATATGTGCAACTGACTGTCCCCCACTTTCTCTCCTAGCCGCTCTGGATGCATGGCAGTCCCTGGCCCCCTCGTCCGTAGTTCTTGATCCGTCCATCAGGAACTTTGATGTTGCCCAAATCAGCACGGCTGCCACCAGCGACTTCTCTGTTGCCCGAGACTTCTGCTTGTTGGGTAAGTTTCTACCCTCAGATGGTGGACAAGGCTCCTCTCCCACAAGTGCTGCTCAAGATTCTGGCCTCAGAGACACACAGGCGAGCCCAAGGTGACCTGGGGTGCGTAGGAAGGAAGGAAGCGATTAACCTGGGGGGGCAGACCCTGGGTCGGCTCTCCTCTGTAGTAGCCTCGTCCTCTGGCAGGGCCACCCCACAGTCAAGGTCTCCAAGGGGATAAGCCAGCCAGAAAATGAGCAACCTTGGACCAGGTCAGAGGAAGGATCTACGGGGTTAATGTGAGACAGAGGAGACGTTTGGAAGCTGTGATGGCTATCCTCAGATCGCAGGTGGCCCAGCACGGTGAGGAGGAAGTGTACTTGTTCTGGCCAGGCTCATGGGCAAAACTAAGCTCTATGGGTAAAACTCAAATTTCAAGAGATATTTTTCAGTGCAATATGGAGAACTTTCTAATAGGCAAAGCTGTTCACAGACGCATACTTCCTTTAGAGGGTTTCGGTCACTGGTAGTTAAACAAAAGAGCTTGGTGACCACATGTTAGGAATGGTCTACAAAGACTACCTTCTGAAAGAAGCTGAGATTAGATAGCACTTCCACTCCTCCAATTCTGAGATTCTATGAGTCTCCTTCTCTACAAGGTTAGATAGCAATATGCCTATCTTACACAGACAGGGCCACCATGTACAGATGTACAGGTTGTGCACTGCACAAGTCTACGTGGTGCCATTACATAGAGACTAGGCTATGAATAAAGCCTTTAGGGAGTGCACAGCTTGCTCAATCAGATGAAGCAGCACTATTTCCAGAGCTGTTCTTAGGACTGAATATGCTGAATGCCATGAATAATTTAAGCTGTTTAGTGCAGGACCTGGCACACATGGGAAATAATATAACCCTTGAGGGAATGTGGTGAGTATGATGGGGGTAGGGGGCAGAGGGAGACGAAGCTGAAGAAGAAGGCAAGGAAGAGCATGGAGAGCCTTGTCTGGTGTGACTTAATCCTGAGGCCAGTCGGAAGCCATGGAGGTGCTTTAAACAGGGGAGTGACAAGAGCATATCTGTGAATAAATAAACAACCAAAACCTGACTGTAGTGTGAAAAATAGACTGCTGGGAGGGTTGGGTCCGCCCCAGCCCCACCACCACCATTTTATTCGCAGCCCCTGGCACAGTGCCTGGGGTGTATTGTAAGTGGTCAGATGAATAAGCGAGTGAGAATGTGGATGGATGCATGGATGGGTGGATACATAGATAGATGGATACATGGATGCATAGATGCATCATTGGGTGGATAGATGGATAGATGGATGGAGGAATGATGCATGGATGTATGTCTGGATTCATGATGCATGATTGGATGGAAGGACAGCTGGCTGGCTTATCCCCTTGGAGACCTTGACTATGGGGGATGAGGAGACTGCAGAGGAGACCCCACTGAGGGTCTTCTCTCCCAGCCTAATTCCTTTCTGCTGGGCACCCCAGGTTATCTTGGGATGGATGGATGGGCAGGTGGATGAATGATACATAGATTCATGGGTGTATCATTGAATGGGTGGATTGATGGATGATGCATGGAGAGATGGCAGGGTGGATGGACAGTGCATGGATTCACGGACACATGATTGGATGGATGGATGGATGATGCATGGATTCATGGACGCATGATTGGATGAATGGATGGATGATGCATGGATTCATGGATGCATGATTGGATGGGTGGATGGATGATGCATGGATTCATGGATGCATGATTGGTTGGATGGATGATGCATGGATTCACAGATGCATGATTGGATGGATGGATGGATGATGCATGGATTCATGGACGCATGATTGGTTGGATGGATGATGCATGGATTCACAGATGCATGATTGGACAGATGGATGGACAATGCATGGATTCATGGATGCATGGTTGGATGGACGGATGGATGATGCATGGATTCATGGATGCATGATTGGATGGATGGATGGATGATGCATGGATTCATGGATGCATGATGGGACGGATGGATGATGCATGGATTCATGGATGCATGGTTGGATAGATAGATGGTGCGTGACTGAGGTGACATCTCTGTGGCCCAAGCTTCACTCTCTCTTTCTACTCCACAGAGTGTTCCCGTCACAAGGCCTGCCTCGTCACCACTCTGCAGACCCAACCTGGTGCCGTGAGGTGTGTGTTCTATCCTGACACCCAGAGCTGTACTCACAGCCTGCAGGCCCAGAACTGCCAACTTCTGCTTCGTGAAGAGGCCACTTACATCTACCGGAAGCCAAGTAAGTGCCGGCCTATGTCTTTGCAGCCATTCCCCAGAGCCTGGGTCTGGCTGGGAGGGACTTTCCCAGCATGTGGTGATTCAAGAGGGATGGCTTTTGAGGTTCTTAACAGACAGTTGGCCAAAGTTATCCTGGGCTAGGTGGGACTCACCTGGCTTGGACTGAAGGAAGGTCAAAAACCCTACTTCTAACCCAGAATTTCTTGGCACTGCCTTTATTCATTTGTTTGTTTGAGATATAGAAGCATTTTGCCCTTTGAGTTTCTTAGTAAAATAAATAGGTCACTTTTTAGTACTTTTTTGTAGTATAGAAAGTTGTTTCATGTGCCGCATCTCATTTGATCCTTACACTATCCCTTGAGGTGGAAAGATAAGGGTTTTATCCCCATCTTAGAAATCAGGAGACTCTGGCCCAGAGAAGTCATGCTACTTCTCTGATTTCGTACAGCTAGTGAGGACAGAGCAGGGACTTGGAGCCAGGTGCAAACTCTCGATGCAATGCTCTCCTGCAAACCACGATGCCTGAGTACCACATCACGACCACTTCAGAGCAGGCCGCTGCTCCTGGCTCAGTTTAGTTTGAAACATTCAGTAAGGTGCTGTTATGTGTCAGACCTTGGGTCAGGTGCTGGGGATACAGGGAGGAAGCACGCAAAGGGCAGAGCAACATGTGAATCCATCCCTAAGCAAAGTAGTAAGAGCCGTGGAACAGGAAACATGGGAGCCGGGGGCCTGGCGGGTGCACCTCCCCGATTAGACATACTTACGGGATGAAATTAATAACTTTTAAAAGCTGTTAGCTATTCCTTTCATCTTATCTAATAGAGCAGAGATTAGCAGACTTTCCCAGTAAAGGGCTAGATGATAAATATTTCAGCTCTGCAGCCACATGTCTCTGTTACAACTGCTCAGCTTTGCCTTTGTGGCAGGAAAGCAGCCGCACAGGATTGGTAAACCAATGGGCGGGGCTCTGTGCCAATGAGACTTTATTTACAAAGTCAGGGAGCAGCAAGATTTGGCCCCACCCCATCCTAGAGTGTTGATGGTCCTTCAGGCCTGTCTTGATCCCGGCACATCCTCCTCTCTGCCTCCCTCCTCCAGCTCGTGCCCCGGGGCCTGGGAGTCCTGTGACTCCTCTATGCTGGCGTCTTGGGCCCTCCGTCTCAAGTCTTGTCTTCTCGCTGGACATGATATTGTTTGGTCAAGTCAGATAGATTTCAATAGTATGTGTCGCCCATAGGGTAGCTAATCCGTGTGGTGGTCCTGCTGGACTTGGAGGTTTGATTCTGTAAAACAAATGAGGCTGCTTCTCTGTTCATTGCATGCAACTCAAATGCAACATGAAATGCTCAGTTCCGGCGGAAGACGCATGCCATATCCACCCACACAGACACTGTTGGTTTGCACCTAATGTGCATACAGAGCTGCAGATAATTTTCTTAGCCCAGGGAGTCGCATGGCCTAAATATGGGAGGGTTTTGGGAAAAGTCCACCATTTCTGCAAAAGATTTCAAAAGGGAGAGCTGTGCATCTAACATTTCCCCGTGTTGGATTTCGCTCAGTCTGGGATTCATTGGGCAGCCTCTGCACGGGGCCTGGAACACTGCTGTCTGTGGGAAAGCATGCTCGCATTCCCTCGAAATTCTTTAGCTCTCATATTTTCTGTCTCGGCCCCGCCTTCGGATGATGCCACGTTCATGAAATGTGGCTGTTTCCTGCAGAGCAAAAACCTGACCTCAGAAGTTTCTGCTATGTTAGTACCCACAGTCCTCAGGGCTTGCCCGAGACCCTGTGATTTACGAATGAAACAGGAAATCTTGTGAGAAGCAACTGTGGGGCGAGATGGTCATGATTTGTGCTGGAGGCCAGATCACAGGGCAGCAGCTGGTTCTTTCCATCCTGAGCTTCCATCTTAAGTTGGAACTCACAATCCAGTGTTTGTGCAACAGAGAAGGTTTCATTCACTATGTTCCTTCTCCCTTCCTTCCTTTTTCTCTTTTTCTTTCCTTCTTTGTTTCTTTGTTTCTTTGTTTCTGTTTCTTTCTTTCTCTCTTTCTTTCTGTCTCTCTCTCTCCCTCTCTTTCTCTCTCTCTCTCCCTCCTTCTCTCTCTCGCCCTCTCTCCCTCCCTCTCTCTCTCTTCTTCTTTCTCTCCCTCTCTCTCTCTCTCTCCTTCCTCCCTCCCTTCTTCCCTCCCCCTCCTCCTTTCCTCCCTCCCTCTTTCCTTCTTCCTTCCTTCTTTCCTTTCCTCCCTCCCTCCCCTCTCTTCCTCACTCCCTCTTTTCCTTCCTTCATGCATTCATTCATTCATGTGTTGAGCTCCTGCCATTTGCTAGGCACTGGGCCTGGAACATGACAGGCATCGTGTTATCTATTCTGGACATCTTCGTGTTGTATGGACTGCTATTATTCCTACTTTGCAAATGGAAAAATTATGAAGATCAAAACAATTACAATGTTTTCCTGAAGTAGCTGGTCATATCATAAAACACAGGTCTCCCTGACTCCCCTGACCGGCTGTCAGTTTTCCCTCACGGTGCCGAGCTTCAGTGGGCTGGAGGTCATGAACACATGTCCCACCAGGGTTTCTCAACCTTGCACCATTGACATGTGGGCCCACATAATTCTTTGCTGTGGGGAGCTGTCCTGCCTATCATAGGATGTTTAGCAGCATCCCTGACCTCTACCCTACTAGATGCCAACAGCGAGCGTCTCTCTCCAACCCTTGTGACAACCAAAAATATCTCCAGACATTGTCAAATGTCCCCTGGGAACAAAATCACCTCCAGTTGAACTACTGCATTAAACCAAGCTCTTGAGGAATGGATAGACTCCTGCCTGCCTGTCTGTCTGTCTGTCTGCCCCTTCTCCCGTGCTCCTGTCTAGTCATCATATATATGTATATATTAAACAAAAGGAGCTGCAGAGGCAGCAAAGCTTTCGCTCTCAACCAGCTGACGGGAGAGCCGAGCCAAGCAAACCCAGCTGCTGGAAATAATAAGAGACTTTGCACACACACACACACACACACATTGAGAGAGAGACAATATCTCTCCACCAGTGTTTGTTTCCCCTTGTGTGTGGCCCTAAGTCCTGTGGAGAATCAGACACACAGGCCTGTCTCAGGTCCCTGACATTGGCATTTGGCACCGAGCTGGAGCCCAACAAGAGTTTGTTGAACGAGTGAGCGAATGAAAGAAAATATAGTAGAGGAGATAAGGTAGGGCTCCAGGGAGGCCGATGGGATCTGGTGATTAGCCCTACAAGAAGGGGCGTGGAAAGCCCTCTGGAGCTCAGAGCGGTGATGGCAGGCGGGCCCAGCCCAGAACTTACAGACCATGCGGGATTCAGACACGAACAAAGGGAGGGAGGGCATTGCAGGCATGGGCAGAGGCCCAGAGAGGGGTCCTGACTTGACCCTTGACCCCATGTGAATGGGGCGTGGTCAGAGTTGGGTTCAGAAAGGTGTGGCTTTGACTCCTACATGACCATGAAGTCCTGGCAGCTGCCCACCCTCAGTCCCCAAACTTATTTCCTCACCAGTGAAAGGCAAATATGGGCCACAGTTCCTTAGCTGCAATCCTGAAATCCAAAAGTTCTAAAAAGTCCCTCCGTTCTTGTAAAAATCCAATTACGTCTGACCTGAAGCTCATGCCTGGCCCCACGGGGCTGAGTGAGGGGTTGTGGGCCAGAGTGACGAGCTAACACCTGGAGAGAAGGCACTGGTACTGCCTCTGCACATATTCAGTGCCTGGTAAAGGTGAACTGTCTTGGCAGTTTTTTTCACATTGAGCACTAACTTGACTAGACTTAAGCTATTGGGGACTGAATGGATTTTCAACCTTTTTAAAGTGCAAATGGCAGTATTTTGTTTGAATAGAGCACCCACTGCTCCCTCTCGCCCTCCTCCCCCGCACGCCCCTCCCAACAGACCTCCCTCTCCTTGGCTCTGGGACATCTGCGCCTTCTGTGACCATCGCCACCCACGGCCAGCTGCTGGGCAGGTCCCAGGCCATCCGGGTGGGCACTTCGTGGAAGCAGGTGGACCAGTTCCTGGGAGTTCCGTATGCCTCCCCGCCCTTGGCAGAGAGCCGCTTCCGGGCACCCGAGCCCCTGAACTGGACAGGACCTTGGGATGCCACCAAGCCACGGTAAGGGCTGAGTGGAGCACGCTTAGGTGACTGCCCAGAGAAGCCGTCTCGCATCGTCATCCATCAGAGGGAGACCTGGGGGCAGAGCAGTGCCTCCTAGAGGGAGCGGTGCAGTGGGTGGGGGTGTCGTAGTTAAGGTGGCATTAAGCGCTCTAACAGATAAATGTCCCCAGTATAACGTTATCTTCCTCCTGGAAAGTCCACTTGGTGATGGAGGGGCTGATGTGCTCTGCTCCACACAGCGATTCGGGGACCCAGGCTGACAGAGGCTCTGCCTTCTTCAGCACGAACCTCCCTCGGCATCGCATTTAGGAAAGAGGCTGTGGGAGAGTCTGCTGGGGACATTTCTAGGGGCCACCCTTGGAAGTGGTATGCATCCAACAGTTGCACCAGGATCCATCCGGGTGGCCAGAGCTCAGAACTCCTGGCCACGTCTGACTTCAGTGCGGCTGAGAAATATAGCAGAGAAGGAAAATTACATGAGCTAATGAAAATAACCTTAAAAGAACTATTTTTTTTTCTAATAGGGACAATATTAAAAGGAGTTTTCAAAATAAAAAAAAAAGCATCTGTAGCCTATCTTCCTGCCTCATCAGCTATTTTCGATTTCATCCATTCCTCCCAGGCATACACCGCTTTAGATAGCTGACGCAGTGGGGAAGATGTTGTGATTTTCCTAACTAGAGTGTGTGCGGAGTACCCTGAAGAAGCGCACTCCTCCCTTCTCCTCCCCACCTGCGTTTGCCCTTCCCACAGGCCGGGCAGGTCCACAGGCTCAGGCCAGAAAGAGAGGAGCTAGGAGGCTCTTGAGTATCCAGGCCGGGGAAGGTGGAGGCTGCAGTCGGCCAGTGGCAGGGGGGATGTAGAAAGCCACGGCTGAGTCTCCACCACTGAGAAACGAAAGGAATAAACCTGCCCCAACTAGAGCACTTTGCCACGTTAGGATGTACCCATTTGACAGAGGAGGTTGAGTCACAGAGGTTTTAGAGTGGTGAGTAGTTGGAGCGCTTGGCTCATCAGATCCCAGTGCTGAGTGGAATCAGTCTTTTGGGTGAAGTACCATCATCCTCCATAGGCCTGTCCCAAACGTGGTCTCAGCTCTTATGCTGGGAGACACTCACCCTGGCGCACAGGAACTCTGTGCTGACGTAGAGAGCAGGTCGGACACCTCATCTGGCAACAGGTCTGCACACTTGGAGCAAAGGAGGGCCAAGGTCCCAAGTGGCATCCATTGTCCCCTTCCTTGTCTCGGGTGCCCTTCTCTCTGGTTTAGCACCTGTCCCTGGGGGATGTTCCTGCCCAGGCCGGTGCCAGGGAGAGTGGTGGGCACCTGCTGTTCCTCCCATTCATTTGCCACTCCCATCTCCCGTTTCCCAAAGCTGCCTAATTGCCAGAGCTGGTGGGACCCCAGCCTCGGGAACGGGGCAGTGGGAAGGGGATGTGGGCCTGCCGCCTTGCTCCTTTCCCCTGGAAGTCTTACAGCCTGTATCTGCAGGGCCAGCTGCTGGCAGCCGGGTGCCAGAACGCCCCTGTCTCCCGGACTCAGCGAAGACTGCCTGCATCTCAATGTGTTTGTCCCCCAGAATGTGGTGAGTCCTGCAGCCCTTGCTGGGTTTGCCTGGAAAACCACCCAGGTGCCACCCGCTCCCCACGGCTTTGGGCCCCGTTCCCTCCTCTCCCGTGTGCTCCCCTTGGGTTGTGCTCCCATGCCCCCTGGGGTGGCTCTTGGCTTCGAGAAGGCCTGACTGGCTGAGAGCAGGCAGAGGGGCCTTCGGCTTCCTCCACAGCCTCGTCCCATCCTCCCCACGTCCGGCATCCCGGCGCCCCAGCCACACCGGGGCCGGTGCACCGTTATCCCCACCCGCTTCTCTAAGAAATATTCACGATGGCCTGTGACAGGCTGGGACTGCTCCAGGTGGGACCCCGCTATGACAAAACACAGCCACTGCCCTCCCGGGGCCAGAAATAAACAGACAAGCAAATAAATAGTGACGAAAAATACACAGGGACAGGAGGGGGTCGGTGGCGGTCAGGAGGTCCCGTTGGAGCACAGCGCAGAGGTGGGAGGATGTGAGCCATGCAGGCAGGCAAGGTGAGGGCCGGCCATGTAGGGCGGGGACCCCTAGAGGCCACAGGCTGGGAAGGGAGCAGCTGGCATTCCAATTAGCCTGCAAATGAGGAAATGTCCTCTCCCCTGCGGAAGATGCTTGGGGCCACCCCTCGGGGGCGTTTGTGGGAGCTTTCTGCATGGACTCTTATTTGAGGCAGTTCTGGAGGTGAGGTGGGGGGCTTTGACCCTGACCCTGGTTGTGCCCTGTTTTGAAGCCCGTTTCTGCCTAAGTAGCATCTGTGACCCTGAGGTTGAATATTTGAGTTTTCTATTTAGGGGAAAGGGTCAGAATGCATGGGAGTGAAAGGACCTGATGAGCTTTAGGGAACAAGAGTTTCTGGTGAGGCTGACCCAAAGTTGATAGATCCCATGGTGCATGTGACGATGCCACCAATTCCTGGTTTCCTACTAGCAGAGAGAGTCAACTGTACTTCATGGGCTGCGTTAACAGAAGTATGGAGCCTAGAGTGAGGGAGGTGATAGAGTTCCATTCTGCCCAACTCTGGTCATACCATACTTGCAGATGCCAAATTAAGTTCTGGCTCCAAACCAGCCTGCTACTTGCTTTCATATCTGTGATTTCACTTGTCTTCACATCAATTCTACAAGGAAGATATCTATATCTCCCTATCTCTATATATAGTCCCTCCTCATTTTAAAGGTGCAGAAATGAGGCTAAGAGAGGCTAAGTGACTTACTTAAGGACACACAGCTGGGCTGAGTGGAGGCTTGGTCCCCGTATCCTGACTCCAAATCCAGTGCTCTGTCCCCCAGGGAAGTTCCCATTTGAAGAAAGCTTTGCTGTTTCTGCCTTGGGCAGCTCCGTCGCCTCATCCTGGCCTTGGGGGAGGAGCGTTGATGCCATAGCCTGGGCTGCCACAGCGGCGCATGCTGCTAAAGTGACGGACCCTGCAGGGGTTGGGGGGGCAGCATCTTGGACACCTCCTTCTGGCTGCGGGGTGGAGAGGCTGAGGACTGACCCTCAGGACCCTCTGCGGCCTCCCCTCGCTTCACTGACACTTGCCGGCAGCAAGGCAAACAGCCTCCTCTCTTGCTGGTGTGCCACCCGATAAAATGGCTCTGAGCGCTGTTAGGATGTCAGTCATGTTGGAGAAGGGCCACCTAGCTTAATTACCTCTTTACAGGACCTCGCTCCCAACACAGGCACATTCTGAGGCCTGGGGGTTAGGGCTTGAACATGTCAATTTAGGGGGACACACTTCACCCCATAGCATGGGACTGAGTGTGCCCAGAGAGCAGCGCTGACCAGAAGAGTCACACGCAGGCTCAGAATCTCACTCCTCCATGGGAAGGTGCCCTCACTGAGCTCTGCTGCGGGAAAATGGGCCAAGCTGTAGCCCCCGCATCTCTCCAGTCCCCACAGGCCCCCGGAGCGTCCGTGCTGGTGTTCTTCCACAACTCCATGGAGGGCAGGGTGAGCGAAGGACAGCTGGCCCTTGACGGTTCCTTCCTGGCTGCTGTTGGCAACCTCATCGTGGTCACTGCCGGCTACCGAGTGGGCGTCTTCGGCTTCCTGAGTTCCGGTGAGTTGCTGGCGTTGGTGGGACTGCTGACTCCTAAAGCTGAGGCTCGCTCTGTGCGTGTGCGGCCCCTTCTTCCCGAAGCCCCATCCCCTCCTGGCCCCTGGCCCGCCTCCAGCCCAGCTGAGCCCTCAGTGGAACATCCAGCTCCCTCCGGTGACGCTGACACTCGTAGACAAGAGCCATAGTTTCCATTGATTGGACTATGTGTCGGAAGCTGTCCCATGCTTTATCTTGTGATGTGTATCTGTGTGTGTGTCTATTGAGGTCTCAGAAGGTTAGACACTTGCTCAAGGTCACATGCTCAGGAAAGAGCAGGACAGGATTCCCCAGCAGGGTTGACTGGCCCTGGAGAACCGTAAGGCATGGATTATGGCCTTGGACACACAGGGAAGCCCTCTGACTCAGAGTGAGGGCTGCATCAGTGATGGGCTTCCGGCTCCCCCTTTAACCCCAGCCTTGCTTGTGAACATTGGCCTGTCCCCTATCTAGTCACAGCCCCATTTGTCACTCTGGTTGCCCCCTCTCCTCTCCCCTACAACCCCCAGGGCAGAATTGAGGCTTGGACCAATGTCAGCATCCTTCGTCCACATCTCCTCCATCTCCAGCCCCCACCAGTGGCAGGGCAGTTGTCAAGTAGCTGTGACCGAGCACAGACACGCTGGTCTGGGAATCCGAAGAGCCATTCATTGTCTATGTGACCTTGGACAAACCCTTCCTTTCTCTGAGTCTCAGTTTTCTCCTCTGTAAAATGGGAATAATTGTACTCAACTTCCAGAGTTACTGTGAGGCTCAAGTGAGGTCCTGCATGTGAAAGGGCTTTAGAGACTGTGACGGGCTTTTCGAGTCCTCCAGGATGGGCACTGAGCCTCATCTCTGTTCTCCAAGATTCTCGTTTAAGACCTGGGTTGGCTTACCTGCTAAGTGTGGGTGGGCGGGTGGAAGGCAGCATGGCTGGAATGAGGGACTTGAGTAGAGTGTGGGTGAGTGGGGTGGATCTAGCACGAGTAGGAACCCAGCGGTGCAGGGAATGCGGGCTAACAGACCACCTGGCACGGGGCCTTGAGCGCCATGATGAAGATTCTAGGCCTGCGCAACAAACGCGAAAGGGTCAAGAAATTAAGGCAAAATCCGACCAGATGCCAACGTGGGAAATGGAGATGAAGAACAGATTTCAGATTTTCCCTCAGGGGGAGCAGGGTCAGCTGCCAGAGCATTGACAACGCTTCGCCTGGTTTCCTTTCCTCTTTTCAAACATGACTGAATGATTTAACTCAGTAGCTCCTTTCTCTAAGGAGGTGGGTGAAATTCCAAGCTCCTCCTGCTAAATGGTGGTGGTGGGTGGGGGCAGGTTTTCACAGACACGGCTGACTTCTTGGTTTAGAGCATTTCCAGACAGAAGAGAGTGAATTTCCATATGTCGTCCGTCCCTGAGGGGGCGAGGGGCTATGATTTCATGGGCTGTCATCTTATTGAGAATTCGTGTGCTTCTGGGAAGGCAAACTCATTTCTGCTGCTGGTGGGGGCAGCGCTGGGGGGAGGCAAAGGAAACTTCCAGAACACTCAACCCTTCCCATTCTTGACTTGCAAGGCTGCCTGTTCATTGTACTTAAATCAAAAGTGTCAGCCAGAGAGAGAAGGAAAGTTACACTTACCCGGCGCCTTGCTGTGCCAGACATCTTGCCTGGATTATTTCATTTCATTCTCACGGCAGCTCTGTGAGGCCAGGCTCATGTGGCTTTTCACAGATGAAACGACGAGGCGCAGAGAGGTCAAGGAACTTTATGCGCCACAGTTACGAGTGGCATCCTGGGCGTTAAACCCTGGTGGTCCAACAGCAAGAAAAAACATAGGGTAGCTTGCTCCCTCAGATGTCCAGGAACACCCTACGGATTCCTCAGTCTTCTGTGTACAGAGCAGGATTCCTCTTTGCATTCGTTTAGCCACAGGCAGTCTGTCTCTGCTTTATTTACTAGACCTCCTAGCGTTTCCCACATTCCTGAGATTTCACATCTCTTACGTTGGGCCTCCCTGCAGTTCAGCCGGATAGGGAAGCATCCATCAGTCAAGAAACAGACACAGAGAAAGTGGCAGGGGGCGGAGAAGCAGCCACAGGGTGATACCAACATAGGCCTCTTGACGGCAGAGGGGCCGCCTCCTGCCTGCCACACACTTTTGATGACAAGGCTCTATGGAGGGGCGGCCACCACGCAGAGGATGTGGGAGTTCACAGCCTCCAGGCGCGCTTGAGAGGGAAAAGGGAGCAGGCGTGCCATTCAGCTCACCCCCAATAAATTTACGACACAAGCACACTATCCCCTTTCCCATTTTAAAAAAAGTACAATAGATTTTACTATTTAGAGAGGTTTTCTGTATACAGTAAAATTGAGCAGAAAGTACAGAGAGTTCCCACACACTCCTTTGTCCCTTGCCTCAGTTTCCCCTGCTATTGGTGAGGCACATTTGTTACAATTGATGAGCCAGTATTGGTACCTTGTTATTGACTGAAGCCCGTGGTTGACATGAGGGTTCGCGCTTCGTGTTTTACGTGCTGTGGGTTTTGACAAATGTGGGATGACGCGTGTCCACCATTACGGCATGACACAGAATAGTTCCACTGCCCTACAACTTCCCTGGGCTCCGCCTATTTGTCCCTCCCCTTTTCTGTTTTACATGGCTGGAAAACTGCCGTTCAGAGCACAGGGCTGGAAAGAGCCCGCTACTTTGAGTGCCAGCCTCAGCCTGGTGTCCTGCACGGCGCACAGACTTTGGACGCGCACAGGGCAGGGCCCGAGGGAAGCTCTGTGACTCTGTGGGTACCAGGGGCTCTAGGCAGTTCCTCCCCTCCGCATCCCATCACAGGCTGCCTGTCTTAGCATCAGATGATGCTGAGACCTTCGGGGCGGATGATGAGATAAAGGGTCAAAGGCAAATGCCTGGAACCGAGCCTGGCATCAGCAGGGGCTCACAAGGTTAAGGCCTTTTCTTTCCGTCGACAGCCTTCTTCAATAGTCAGGGCTGTGCTGTAGTCGTGTCCCGGCCCTGCATGTGGTCAGAGCTGCCTCCCATCGTGGCAGCAGCAGCCCTGGCATTTACTGAGTCAGCCCGGGTAGCAGCTCTGTGTGCTTCGTCTCTCAGATAAATGTGTGCAGCATCTGCTGTCGTAGCCCAGAGTGAAAATGGTCCCTTGAGGACTCCAGACTCCAGAGGTGCTTTTCAAAAGGGGTGGGAGAAAGATAAAAACAGAAGCTCGTGCCAGTCCTGCAGCCGACTGGACAGACTCGTGTTCTCTGCGAGAGAGGCCAAACCCAACAGTCCTTAAGGGAGCCGTGGTTCCTGAGGAACGGAGCAGTTGGAAAGGAAGTGAGGGGGTCGGTGGGCCTGGGGAGGCCATTGCCCCAGCCTGGACCCTGCAGGCGGGACAGACCCTGGGGGCGTGGGACACAGTGATGATCCTTCTTTCTCTGCAAAGCAATGCAGAGAGGGGGACCAGGGGTGGCAGCGTGGGTCAGAGGAGGAGCGGGTGGGCACCGCCTCTGCAGGGCAAGGAAGCAGAGGAGGTGTGCTTTGGCCAGCGAGCCAGACAGAAGGCCAGGCACGGGAACATCATCATTACCTCATCATCCCTGGGGCGTTGGAGGCCCCCGACAGGGTCTGCCACCCTCTCCGACTGCAAGACCAGGCACAGAGTCCTGCCCAGCGGGAGACCCATCACAGGTGCCATTTCTGCTACTGAAGACAGGGCACATCCTGCAAAGGGCCTCTGTAGGATGATGCTGGGACCTAAGCCCGGTTTGTTTTATTTAAGAAAAACCAAACAATCTCTATCGTGCTATATGCCACGCACTGTTCCGTTCCCTTTACGAATATTAACCAATGCAGTCATCATAGCAACCTAACGAGGTAGGTATTATTATAACCCCCATTTTACAGGTGGGGAAAGTCAGGTCTTGTTAAGTAACTTGTCCAGGGCCCCACACAGCTAGCAGGTGGAGGAGCCGGGACCTGGGCCCAGCTGGTCTGACTCCATAACCCGTGTCCTTACCCACCTCCCCGTGCTGCCTGTTATTGATGGCATCAATAATGACCTGGGCGAGAACCCACCATGAGCCCAGAATTGTGCTAACAAGCTTTAGAGGGATAGATGAAGAAATCAGACGAGCAGGTGAGGACCAATTAGACAGTGAGGGAACCACGGAGTGTTTGCTGGGGTGGTTCAGACCAGAGGGGCAGGAGGCTGCAGGTGGAGGGGCAGAGCAGGACCGGCTGGGGTAGACGGAGAGGAGCTTTACCCTGTTGTCCAGAAATCTGCTCACACCCGTGTCCCCACTGGACTGGACGCGCCTGGTCCACAGAGAGCAGCCCTCTCCAGTTTCATGCCCCCCGCAGCTCTGCACAGCACGTGTTTGTGGCAGAACGGGGCCAGGCGGACCTGAGTGGGGCCCTGAGGATGAGGAGAGTTGGGGCTGCACACACAGACCGCGGGCGGAGTGAGTGGGGATGTGATGAGTGGACCCCCATGGCTGGAGGAGAGCCGGTGTCGGACAGTGAAGGGAACCAGACCGCTTGGGGAGGCCGAGGTCCACCTTAGAGGATCTGAAAAGTCAGGAAGAAGTTTAGACTTGATGAGGCAGGAATGAGGGAGTTATGAAAGCTTTTGAGCAGGGATGGTTCCATAAATAGCTTAGATTTTCTAATGAAAATAACACAGGGCCTTGCACGTCATAGATTTTTCAACCAATGTTTGTTGAATTGTATTGAATATTAGGACAGAGCTCCAAGTGTGCAATTTAAGTCCCGACTTGATCTCACATTTGCTTCTTGCACCTAAACAAACTTTTCCTCTTGAGGCTCAGCTTCCTCACCAGCCAAGGACAGGGTTGGACTAGACTATCTCAGACCAGCTGGTTAGCTGCCTTCTGTGCGGGTCCCTGAGCCGTGTGCCCTGAGGGCCAGGATCTTGTCTACCTTCCTCTTCGCAGTACCTAGCATGATGCCTGGCACCAGGTGAAGCCTCTTGAACACCCCCTCCCTTCTGACCTCCTAGGGGTCTGTTGACCCCAGAATGTCAGCATTGTAAGCAGGAAGCTGATATATGAGACGTAGGATTCAGGGACATTCTCTTCTCCCCCATTGTCACTGGAAATTCAGGCCATGGATGTCACTTCCCAGACTTGCAGGACTGGGTCCTGCTCATTGGCACGCTGCTTTCCTGCCCTGCCTGAGACCTCATAAACAAATGCTTTCATCCTAACAAATGAGACGTACGTGCAATCCAGAAAGGTCCACGGAGAGAATGGTGCCAATCGCGTCACCAAACCCAGAACATGAAATGCATTTGAAGAAATTCTGAAAAGTCTTCCCAGCTGGAAAAGTAATTTGGGTCATTTGTACCGGTCCGTCCTCGGAGCTGGTGTTCTCATCAGCTTTGTGAATACCAGGGTGGCGAATGGAGATGCAAGATCTTTCTGTTTTTCTCCTTGGGAATATGGGGTCTTGGTGATAGTTTCTCGCTTGATGCTGAAGCCCGTTAGTCATATCTACGGTCATTCATTCACCTAATACTTACTGAAGACCTACTATGTGCCACTAGTTTTAGTAGGGGTACAGTCTAGCAGGGAAGACAATGGTGACAAGTACCCTGAAAGAGGATGCTGGCTTTGCCTGAGGGCTGCCTGTGAACTGATGGCATAGCTAAGACTTGAAGGATGGCTGGGCCGAAGGAGGAGGAAGATAGGAAAGGCCCGGGGGAGGGGGAGGGCTCTGGCAGAGGAAATCACCTGTGCCAAGCAGGGGCCTGGGAGAGGGTGGACCGGCGTGTTTGAGCAACTGATGGGCAGCCTGGGTCTGCAGCACAGGCATAGGAGGAGACAGAGGGGGCCCAAGAGACGGACGACCCAGGCCCATGGGACCTTGAATGCATTGGAAGAACTGAGCTCGTTCCTAAGGACAATGGGGTGAGATGGGAGATTCTAGATAGGATGGGGCAAGGTGTGTGTGTGTGTGCCTGTGAGAGACAGACAGAGACAGAGACATAGAGAGAGAGACTTGATCAAAATTATAAGCTTAAAAGACCACTCTGGGTGTGGCATGGAGAATTCATTGGCAGGAGGAATATGCAGATGCAGGAGGCCAATAAGAGGCTCTGAGCAGAGATGGCGGCTGAGATCAGTGGAGAGAGAGAGCCCACAGAGAGCACATGGGGAGGGAGTGGGGATGCGGCAGAGCAGACATCAGGGAAGGCCCACAAGGCTGTGCAGGAGCAGAATGGGTGGGTGGAGCTGCTTTTGAAGGAGAAGATCAGAAACTCTGGAGATGCTGCTGGCCAGGGTGCTCAGGAGACTTAGCATCAATTCCCTGGGGGACGGAAGGAACCTGAGGTGCCTGTGAGACAGCCTCCTGGAGAAACGTGAGGGTCTGGAGCCGGCAGAGTGTTCTGAGCCGCTGGCGTGTGCCCCAGAGTCATCAGCGTGGACGTGGTGGTTGAAGCCATGGGATGGGCTGAGGTTTCCTGGAGCAAAGCTGGAGAAATGTACAGCCTCAGCCCACAGCAGAACAGGCCTGGGCGCCTGGGGCAGTTAGTGGTGTAGACCGACAAGGAGGATCTGTTGAATCCAGAGGACGGCCAGATGGTCTTCAGCATGTAGTGTCCCAAAACACCATGGAGAAGAGCATGATTTTTTCGGTCTGGATCATACCGTTAAAAAAAATAATAATGTTGAGCTTTTAGTAGATGTTTACTGAATTCTGTGAAAAAAGGAAAGAGAGATCAACTCAGTTGAATGTTATCGAAGGTCGCAGAGGATGAGGGAGTGGGAAGGAACGAGATCCAGAACCTCGCTAAACCTGGCCATTATTGGGGAGGCAAAGGTATGGAGAGCCATGGCAGTGGGTGAAGATGTGGGGCAGGAGGTTCATCTCCTTGCTACCCATTTGCCAAGCAGTGGGGTGGCCTGAACATGTACTGCCTCTAATCTGAGCAGCGGCCCTCGTCTGCCATGGGAAGCTGTGGCTCAGAGAGGTGGAGTAACACATCTAAGTTCTCCTAGCTAGCAAAGGCTGAAGCGAGAGTTCGCACCTGGATGGGTCTGATTCCAGAGCCCACGCTCTTGCCACTGTCCCACCCTGTATGTGGAGCCACTGTCCTGACCGGTGCAGACAGGAGGCTGGGTGCTCCACAGGTACCATGTGCCTGGCTCAGACAGCACTAGGATGATTAAATTCCAGGTTGCAAAATCACAAAGGGTTAAATGCTTTCCTCTCTTTGAAGGGTCCAGTGAGGTGAGTGGCAACTGGGGGCTGCTGGACCAGGTGGCGGCTCTGACCTGGGTGCACACTCACATTGGAGCGTTTGGCGGGGACCCTCGGCACGTGGCCCTGGCAGCAGATCGTGGCGGAGCTGACGTGGCCAGCATCCACCTTCTGACCACCAGGACTGCCAACTCCAGACTCTTCCGGAGAGCCGTGCTGATGGTGAGTCGCCTGTTCTGCCTCCAGCCTTGCTGCAGATGCTGGCCGGGCAAGGTGGTCCTCTCCTGCCTCTTGAGACCGTTGACTTCGACTGCTTGGTTTTCCCTTATCCTTAGTCCTGAGTGTGCACCCTGCTTGTGGCCATCTTTCCATGCGCACGTGAGCCAGGATGCTGAGGGCTCTCCTGACTGCTGTCCACTTGTATCTAAAGTGGTAATGATTCTAGATGGTGACTATTTGCTTGGAGTGTCTCATTAGGGTTTAATGAACTGGACCCTCGATTACCTCTCTTGTCAATAGACAAACATAAGGGGTTGGGATGCAGGAGGAGAAGCTTTCCGGAAATCTAATGATGAGAGCACAGTTTAGCCGATACAATGCTGAATACACTCAACAGTGTCGCCAAAAACAGGAGAGAAACAGAACCAAGAGGACTCTCATCTACCCCGGTGTCGCTTCCCTGATCTTCTCCAGGTTCGATCTTGGAATCTTCCCTTAAGCTGCCTAGTTTCTTCAATAGCCCGCGCTCCATCCTCCCTGAGATTCTGTTCTTGTGACATTTTATTGTAGAACAATATTGGGTGATTCCTTGCTCTCGCTAGTCCCTTCCACCTCATTGGAAGGGTGAGGAGAGGCAAGGCACCCAGAGCTTATCCACATGGCTATCCAAGGAGTGGCAGGTAGGTGGGTCAGCAGCCACAGGATGAGGGACAGAGAAAGAAAAGTTTGGCCAATTAAGTTGTCGACTGTTGAGTGAAGGCAAAGAATAGAACTCATAATTCTACTGGATGGTCTGAAGCACCTGCTAGGTGACGATGACGATGATGGTGATGATGGCGATGATGATGGTGATGATGATGATGGTGGTGATGATGATGATGATGGTGATGGTGATGATGGTGATGATGGTGATGATGATGGTGAGATGATCATGATGATGGTAATGATGATGATGGTGGTGACGATGATGGTGATGATAATAATATAATGATGTTGATGATGATGGAATAATTATGATGGACAAAATGACTTGGTTGACCACAGCATAAGCCCTGATGGCTATTCTGTCATTAATTAACTTCTAATTTTATTGAGCATCCACCTTAGGGCAGGTGCTATGCAAGGTGCTGGAAATCCCATGCTGAATAATACATGTCCTAGTTCTCAGGAAGCTTGTAGTTTACTGGGAGGAGTGAGAGACAAACACTTCAAGCAGATATTTAAAAGAAGGTCTTAGGGTGGCTCAGAGAGAAGCCCCAAACTCAGCACAGGGGACAGAGGTAGTGGCATAGGGGAGCCTCCCAGGAGGGGGGGGGCTGAGCTCATGCTGAAGGCTGTGTGGGCATTAACTGTAGGCAGAGTCCAGGCGCCAAGGGAAAGCTGGATCTTCGCTGAGATCTGCCCATCACATGGTGCGTCTCGAAGACAGGGTCTTCGTGGGCAGTGGTGTGGCGGCTGGGAGGCAGAGAGCAGCCAGACGGCACTGAATCCAGCCTGGCTTTTATCCTGAGTGCATGGGAGCCATTGGAGGGTTTTGTCTGTTTGCTTGCTTGCTTTGGTTTCCCATGTTACATTTTTAAGTGTATAATTCAGTGGCATTACGAACATTCACAATGTTGTGCAACCATCCCCACTAATCATTTCCAGCACTTTTTCATCATCCCAAACAGAAACCCTATACCTATTAAATAGCTCCCCCTTTCCCCTTCGTCCCAGCCCGGGTGACCTCTATTCTACCTTCTGGTCTACGAATTTGCCTACTCCGGGTACCTCATGTTAGTGGAATCTGACACGACTTGTCCTTTTGTGACGGGCTTATTTCACTTACCATAACGTCTTCAAGGTTCATCCATGTTGTAGCCTGTGTCAGAGTTTCATTTCTTTTCAAGCTGAATAACAGACCGTTGTATGTATATACCACATTTGGTTATCCATTCATCTGCTGATAAACGTTTGGGTTGCTTCCACCTTTTGGCCACTGTGACTAGTGCTTCTGTGAACACTGGTATGTCATCAAAGCGTTTTTAAGCAGGTGGGAAACTTCCTTAGAAAACGCTTTAGGAAGACTTCTCTTAGAGCTGGGTGGAGGATGAATTTAAGAGGAGCAATGATGGAGGAAGAGAAAGCAATGAAGACAATAGTAAGTGACACAAATTAAGGGAAGATGGAGAACTATTGAGGCCAGTGCCGTGGACCAGCCAGCAATTCTAGAGACCATATAACCACACCCCAGCTTTGTCCAGCCTTCCTGAGATCCAAACCCTTGATCATAAGGAGGGTAGGCGAAGTGTCATTGTTTGGGCATAACTGATGCTAAATCAGCGTCATCGTCATCCTCCCGTATAGGAAGCAGTGCCACCTGCCACTTCGTCTCTCTCCTTCGGCCGTAGGAGCATGCCAGTGTTCCTTGAAGGGTCCATTCTCTACTCGGCCTCACGCAGGCAGTTTCCTCTGCACGGAACCCTCTCCTCCCATCTTCCTCTTTGCCTGCCCTACTCGTCTTTCAGGGAATCCTTCCAGACTTCTCAGTCTAGAGCTGGACCCCCTTTATATGGCTTATGCTGTCTGTACTTCTCATGATTTCCCACCAGTAAATAATTATTCCTGTTGCCATGTCTGTCTCTCTCACAAGACTGCAAGCTCTGGGAGAGAGGGGCCAGGGGTGCACCCACCACAGCTTCTCGCAGTAGATGCTCCATAATTAATATCCAGGCAGCGAATGAGCCCATGAATGGAGGACTGTGCCCAGGGACCCACAGACTATCCACTCCCCTCCCTCCCAGCCCTTTCCTGTGTTTCTTGTCCTTTGACTGGGGTTTTATTCAATCTGCCCTCTGTAGTGGCTCCTTCTTAGTGGCAGGAGGTCTGAGCACAAAGATCTTTGAATTCCTGGTCTTGAGAACAGACCTTCCCGCCTTTGAGCCGAACCTGAAGGGCTTTCTCCAGGGCCGTCTCAGCCACCAGACCCTCACCGGGACCCAGGAGACACCAAAAATACCTTCCAGTAGGCCCAGAAGGCAAAATTTTCTTTTCGAAATTTCTGGAGGATTTAGGTGTTTGGGGAATTTCAAAACTAATCTGTTTTAACAAATGGTAGAGTATTTAAAAATAAACCCTCCGTCTGTTTTAGTCATTTAGGAGCAGCTTTTACAACTGCTCCCAGAAGTCCTTGGGATGCATGTGAAATTATTTGGAATCGAGAGACCTAAAATGCTTCAATATATTAGCAGTTCTTAAACGTGTTCTTTACCAACAGATGTTGGGGAACGAATGTGACTTGATGATATATTCTTGGATAAAATCTTAAATTTTTCTGCAAATCTTGGGGCTAGAGCTGTTGAAATATCGGGCGAGACAGACTCTCATGATAATTAATAACTCAAATTTATTTGTTTAGCATGATTGGGGCCATAAAGTACTTTCAATATATTATCTCATAGAGTCCTCACATTGATTTGCCGGGAGTGTTAATGTTATTTCCCATCTAGAAATCCAAGACTCAGGGATGTTTAGTGACCTGCTGGAGAACACACAGCAAAGAAGGAGCTGCATCAGGGGCTAGGACCTAAAGCCAAATCCTGCGTTTTCCCAGTCTATGAGGCTGCTTCTCCTGGAACTGGGGACTTTTTGGGAGTCTCAATGTGTCAGAGAAAAAGCCCAGGCCTGGGATCAGACAAGCCCGCATCAAGATCCTGGCTTGGGGTGAAACCCTTCCCTCTACATTCTTCACGGATAAAACAGGCAAGGTTAATTCTGTCTTCCAAGGCCCTAAGAAGTGGTCATCCTATAGGGTTTGCAAAGTGTCCTGCACACTATAGGAACTCAAGAAATCCCAGTGGCCCCGTCCCACGCCAAGCATAGGCAACTCCAAGCAAAAGCAGGTCCAAGGACATTTCACCTGCCTGGGGGCCGGGATGGAGGAGGAAGAGGGGTACCTTATTACAAATCTGCATTCTGTACCTCTGATGCCCTGACCAGTTTGAGGAGAAGATAGAGGAGGTCGTGTCCTCTGCCGTGTGATTCACAGGACCCAGAAGAAATTTCCATTGCTTTCCTTCGACATTGCCCCAATTCTGCATTCCTCAGAATGAGGGCCAGGCCCCATGAATTGGCTTCAAGCTGAATTTTCCTGTCTCCTTTCCTGCTCTGTTCCTACACGAACCCTTCACTCCAGGCTCACCAGCCGGGACCATTCCTAGAAAATGCCACGGCTTCTCTAGTTCTTTCCATTGCTGTGCTGCGGTCAGCACGTCCAGTTCCCCACCTGGAGAGTCGCTCCGCCCCTCAGGCCTCAGCTGAAACAGGGCCATGAAGCTTCTCCTCATCTCTTAAAACAGAAAGAATCTTGACAGTCAAGAGATTGCTTTTTAGCTGTTTTTAGGAATTCTGCTTTGTTTGCATGCTCGTTATTTTTCTAACATATCTTATTCCAATTCTGCTATGATTGGGGATGTGAGTTTATCCTCTTCGTTCTTCCTTAACATTTAGCACAGCATCTGGTCCAAAGAGGACACGTGAGACCATGCTGAGTTCCATTCAGCTGGTGGGGGGAGGTGGTGGCCTGGGCCCAGAGCACCATTTTCTCCTCTTTTTGCACGTGCGTCGTAATGTGACCACTCTCCCCTGTGCTACTCTTGACCAAAATTGACCCAGCTAGGAGGTCGGCCCCGTGGCCAAGTGGTTAAGTTTGTACGCTTTGCTTTGGCGGCCAGGGGTTTTGCCAGTTCTGATCCTGGGTGCAGACACAGCACCGCTCATCAAGCCATGCTGAGGCAGCGTCCCACATAGCACAACCAGAAGGACCTATAACTAGAATATGCAACTATGTACTGGGGGGCGTTGGGGAGAAGAAGGGGAAAAAAAAGAGGAAGATTGGCAACAGATGTTAGCTCAGGGCCTGTCTTAAAAAAAAAAATTGACCAAGCTGTTCATGGTCCGTGATGCTCCCATGTATATTTTAGAATAAGTTTATTGATTTTTAAAAAATATTCCTGATAGGAATTTGATTGTAGTGTCATGGAATTTTTCAATTAATTTCAGAAAAATATGTATGTTTTTATGGGGTTAATTCTGGCATCCATGAATCAGGTTAACACCATAACCATGAGTGTGGTACTTTTATCTCTGTAGGTCTTTTCATAGAGTTTGGAACTTTTCTCCATAAAAGTTTTGTGGAATCGTTGTAGGCAAATCCCTATGTGTGTCATAGTTTGGTTGCCACCATGAGTGGTGTCTGTTTTTCTATTGCGCTTTCTAGTTGGTAAATGCTGGCAGAGGAGAGTAAGTTGGTTCCAAATTTGCTGAGCTCTCTTAGCACCTTCTAACACTTTGTGTCTTGGTTCCATTGGATTTTTTATGAAGTTATCTCGTCCTCTGCAAATAACGGCAGGTCTGCTTGTGTACCTGTTGGAGCAAAAGGCTCAGCTTCTCTAACAAGGAGACCCAGCACTAACGCAGCTTAAATAATAAATCCAGGTCTTTTTCTTCTGTTTCTCATAACATTTCCCAAGGTGAGGAGTTCAGGGGTCTCGTGATCTCTCAGGGCCTGGGTACCTTCTAGGTGTTTCTCTGCCATCCTAGGGCGTTGTCCTCATCTTCAGGGCTGAGTCTGGGTGGCCGGGGGTTCCAGACAGCAGGGAGGAGACAGAAAGAGAGGAGGGCCACCCCTGCTGACCTAGGGTGGAGGAGGGTACATTCCCTCCTGTGGAGCCCCCAGGGCCGTGCAGACCCACATCCAACTCGCTCTCCTTCTCCTTCTTTCTTGTGATCATTCTTGTTCGTGTTTTTATCAGTCATATGAATCTTAGTCTTTAAACATGTTTTCCTTTTTAAATCTTCTTTATGACTGCATTTTAAAAATCCTATTTCATTGAAGTCTGCCTTTATCATAATCTTCATTTCCTTAGCAAACTGCTGTTCTTTTGGCTTCTTGAGTTGAAAGCTAACCTTGCTTTTCATTCTTTGTTTACTGATCAATGGACTTCAAACAATAAATATCCCTCTTACTATTGTATTAGCTATGCCCCCGAAGTTTTGAGAAGTAGCAATATGTCATATATTTTTTAAATATTTTGTTATTTCTTTCATTATTTTCTTCTTAACACAAGGACATTTTTTTTTTGGCTTTTAGAGTCGTAGACTTTTTACCCATCCTTTTGCAAACTGATTTCCAATTTTACTGCATTATTATCATACAGCGTGAATTAGAGGATGCTGACTTTGAAATTTATTAGGACTTTCTCTGTGACCTAATATATTCTTCACTTGTCAGGAGAAACATTATATAGTGTTATCGAAATCTTCTATCTAATTATCGATTTACTTTTGCTTAATTTATCAGTTTTTGAGAACCATGTGTTAAAATGTCCAAATAAAATTATCTATTTGTCTCTATAATAGTTGCTTAATACATGTTGAACTTATATTGTTAGATTAATATAGGTTCAATCATTATATCTTTTTAATGTATTCCTTTTGTAACATCTCTTTTTGCTCTTAGGTAATTTATTTTCACCTTTAATTCCATTTTGCCTCAAAATTCAACTCTTTTTCCTTTTGTTCATTTTTGCATGAAAAGTTTTCCATCCCTTTACTTTCAAACTCTACATCTTTCTGTAACTGTGTCCAGTAGATCACACAATGCCAGAATTTAAAAAATTCATTCTTGACACAGTAGCCAGTGTGCTATTTTAAACATATAAATGAAATGATATTACTCCCCTACTTGGATCCTTCCACTGGCTTCCCATTTCTCCTAGAATAAGCCCTAACCTCCTTTCCCTCCTGTCCAGGGCCCCGCAGGACCCATCTGCTTCCCGACAGCTGTCTCTTCCCCACCTTGGCTCCCTCAGCCCCAGCCACCTGGCCTTATTTCAGATCCTTCCCCGTGCAGTCTTGCTTCTGCCCACGGGAATCGCCATGCTGTCCCTGCTTCCTCCAGCATTCTTCCTACATCTTCGCATGGCTGTTTGCTCTCATCTTTCAGGCCTCGGCTGTACTGTGAGCTTGGACGTCTCCCCTGGGAAGCGTTTCCTAAGCATCCGATTAAACCATCCCTGGCCTGTCGTGCTCCCTCCTAGCACCCTAGGCCACCTTCCGCACTGCATTAGTCATCGTTGGAAAGTTTCTTGTTTATGGATGATATCAAGCTCCATGATACCAGAGACCTCAGCTGGTCTTGCTATAGCTCCAGCGCCTAGACCAGTGTCTGGTTTTTAATAGGTGCCCCAAAATATTTGTACAAAGGAATTCTTGGAAGAATGGATATCAGAGGTCTCCCAGGTAATATGCAGAAGTCTCCAGGTGAGGCAGAATTTTCCTACCAGTCACTAAGGACTTGTTCTCGCCCTCAAATCCTTCTGTCCGCCTTCGAGTTTGATAAGACACCCCCAAAAATCATAAAATCCGGTTTTCTTAAGGCTGCACCTTGAAAAGAGGCTGAACTGCTTAACGACTGTTCCTGGATCTCGCTTCTCTTCAGTTGCAGGTTTATTTGAAAATTCGAAACCCCACAGAGCTTCTGAGTGACCCGCCCACCCACCTCTCACAGGACGCGCTCTCCACATTCCAAAGGTTAAATATGTAGTAGGTTTATTTTAATCAGGAATAAATACATGATTTAGCAAAGTGTAATGCTTCCCACTTAGAAATCCCTCTGAGTACTCCCCAAATGTCCTAACCACATTAGTCACAACGGAAAACAATACATAAGACGCTGTACAGACATCTAGAGTGGCGACGTCACCCGGCCTTATGGTGGGAGTCAATGTCCACAGTGATACATTCATTTCCCATACGTTGGCTGCTCGTTTGAAACAGCCCTTTGGGATTGTTGAGGAAACCACAAATGTCTTCTGGTATAAACACACTGGAATGTGATGATACAGAAAATCATGTCAGCGCATATGCACACGACACAAGCACACGATCTCAGATCTACGGAATGCGTATGGTAAACAGACTCCTCATATGGGGCAGCAAGAGGCACTGCGTGCACCCCTTTCCCCCTGAATCCCTTTGCAACAGGAGAAAATGAGTCACGGATGCATCCCGGACCCCTTCCTACAGGATCCGGATTCGTGGCCTGGAGATAAATGCGTCTTTTTTAGATCTTTACTGTGTTTTCTCTCTCATCTCTTAAAATGATGTATGACACAATTAAGCCACTCTTAATCCCATCTTTCCTGGAGCTCAGCATTTTTATTCATGTGGATGCCAAACCCTTTTGGAATAAAATACTGGATAAATTAACTCTTTAGAACTTATTGATTTCCTTTTTTCAAAAAAATCCAGGCATTCTCACCTACTTAATCCAGCCAACTCTCTAAAGGTCCAGCTGGAACAGGGGGTCCTGGGTCCTCCTCACCTGACCCCAATCCTACCAAAAACCAGGACCTGATTTCTCCTTTTACACCCCATTTTCATTATTGTTTACACACTTTTCTGCCTGATTACACTGTGAGCACCTCTACTGGGGTCAGGGGCCTATTCATCTCTTTTTCTTTTTTTGACCTGATATCTTACATGGGTCTTAACACAGGGCCTCTGCAGGCAATCATGAATGAATAACTGATGCATTAATATAGGCAAGAATCTCAGTGTGCCAGAGATGCGCTTTCTGTGCTGCAAAGCCATGGCTGGGGACAGGGTGAAAGTTCGCACCGTTCCAGGCCATTCTCTTGCTCTCCCTACCAGCAGCTTCTCCTTCTCCCAGTTGCCTTGCCCTCTATAGAAGGACGGAGGCCATCCAATCTCTGCACATGTGGTCTGGGTACTGGCAGGCCAAAAGGATCTCCTGATTCCGGGCTAATAAGGAAGGTTAATGTTTAGTGTCACTGAGTTCCCTTAAAAAGACAGGAGCTGCGTACCAAAGATCTCTTTAGGGATTGGTTAAAAAAGGTCAATGCAGGGGACCAATTTGCAAACCAGGACCTTCTGCCAGGCCACCGCTTTTGGGTCATCTTCTCAGGCTTCTTTTGTTCCAAAGTTCTCTCTAATGGCCTCAGCGTGTGACCATCTGGACGGTTTGTTGGAGAATGGTCCTCGTGTACTTCCTTGTGAGAGAGTGTCTGTCTTTCCCACAAACACGACAAGCACACACACACACACACACAGGGTTCTTCTGAAATGTTGCCTGATCGCATCATGAGTCAACATTGCGTGATGTCCTGTACTGATCAGACACCAGGGATGGGTACCCTTTGTCATGGTGTGGATAGAGAAGATGCAAGGTCAAGTCTCCACGTGGCTTCTCTTGGCTTCTGGGAGACGTGAGGTTCCCCAGGGACCAGGGGACCTGCCTCTCTGTAAGACCCCAGGTGACAGTTCTAGCCTCTGTTCCTTTTGGGCACACACCATGGTGTCTGCTGTCGGGCTAGTCTTCAAAGTACGGTGGAGGCGAGAAGAAACTCTTCCTCTTGCTTCCGCTGTACATCAAGGAGAGGCTTTTCTTCTTTCGGTCAAAGGAGGTGCTGTCGTCACTGGTCAGGGAGAGGTAGGAGGCGATGCTTTCCCGAAGGCCGTAGCTGAAAAGAGACTCATCCACGCCCAGTGGATTCTCTGCCCCCTCTGGGTCCTGCTGTAGTCTGCGAGGCGGAAGGAAAGAGAGCAGAGGAAGAGGCAAAAGAGAGAGACGTGGAGGGGTGGAGGACAGGAAAATGAGAAAAAGAAGGGAAAAAAGGAGCCTGGTTAGTATTTCTCTAACTTATTGTTCTAATTCTGGTTCTTACATTTGTGGCTGCATGATCTTGGAGAGAGAACACTTAAACTCTGTGAATCACCATTTTTTTTGATGGCTAAAACATCCGACTGTAAATTTTAATGAATATTTCTTTATGATATTTACGAGGGAGAGCAGTTTTATTCATCTCCCAGGCAAGTCTGATCTCTGATTTTCTTTGAATTTGCCAGTGGGGTGTCTGAGTCAGTGTTTAATTAGTAAGATAACCCACCAATCCCCAACTACAGATATTCCTTAAAATACAACAGCTGACAATCAGACAAAACAAGTCAGTGGGAGACTATTTTCCGTAAAAAAAAAAAAAAAAAAAAAAAAAATCGCCTTAGGATTTTGCTGGTGTGTTTAAGCTTTCTGAGCAAGTTTAAAATAATCTTAAATTTACACAAGATTTATTTGCATGTTACCCTCTAGGATCCTAACAATTAGAAAAAAGCAAGGCGGTATCTTTCAGCTGGAAAATATTCTGTTAAAACTGAGTGGGGGCTCGACAGATGTCTGCAGACCTGGGGGACGGAGGTTCTTGGCAGGGAGTTGAGCACTGAGGCTGAGTCTGTCTCACGGGGGCAGTGGGATTCCACAGGTCTGCATCTGCCCTGAATGTCCCCTCTTGGGTTTCAGCAGGGCTGGCTGTAACTGACCACGGTTATCCTCTGCCAGGCTCGAACGCTGGTTTTGGGCTTACACTTTCATGGGACACACATACACACAAACACACATCCTACCTGGACACCCTCTTCCAGTCGAAGGTCTTCTGGCGCAAGGTGACAGGCGAGGCTGGTGCCCTCGCTGCCGGGGTGGTCGTGCTCTGAGTGAGGCAGGGTGTGGTCAGCACACAGCAGAGGCCATCAGCCACCTCTGAGGAGGGAAACAGATGGCCAGTCAGTGACTCTGGGACGCTGCAGCCAATGAGGGGTACGGGGCCTGGGGGACCATCCAGTACAGCTCCCTGGTTGTTCACATGGGGAAACTGAGGCTACGATTTGAAAGGGGCATGGCAGGGCTGAGAGTCATGCACCTAGATGTTGAAGAGATGTTAACATGGCCTGAAGATGCACTGCACTTAGCTTGGCACGGGTAGAGAGTAAAGATTACGATCCAGAACCAACCAAACTTGAGTGTGAATTTCAGCTTCACCCCTGATGGTGAATCACCTTGAACCTCTCTAAGCCTCAGTTTCCTCAACTGCCAAATGGGAGGAGTGAGCTACCGAGTGAGCACAGCTGGCAGAGTGCCTCTGTGAGCCCCAGCCTCCAGGGTTCCTCCCTAAGGGGCCGTTACATCAACTTTTTGGCGTGAGCCTCTTGCATTCAAGGGGGTGCTGTCTATGATGCCAGTCCCCCCAAAGCATACAAAGAAGCTTTTCACACAGCACAGGTGGGCTAATGCATTTGTAGGAACAAAGGAAGATAAAAGAAACAAGGAAAGAAGACAGGAAGGGAGGGAAAGAGAGATGGAGGAAGGAAGACAGGAAGGAAGGAAGGAGAGAGAAAAGAAAGGAAAAGGGGAGAGAAGGAGGGGAGGGAGAGAGAAAGACGGGGTGCAGGGGGGTGGTGAGAGAGAGAAAAAGAGAGAGGGGGAGGGAGGGAGAGAGAGGAAGAGGTGGAAGGAAGTGAAGACAGCACAAAAATGATCAAAGACATAGGAAAAGAAGAGGAGAAAAACAAAGGTAGAGGCAAAAGAGAGAAAGTGGATGAAGAAAAATTTCTCTTCTGTAGCCTAGATACGCATGCACAAAGCGAATGAAAATTAAATAAATCCACTGTTGTTTCCCTCAGCTAGTAGGAAATATCTCAGCGTCCAGAGTCCCTCATCCTCCAGGAGCGTTATGATGCATCCTCCATCTCTTCAAAGCCTTCCACCAGCCATGTCTTAGCGAGAAAGACTGGTTCTGGCTGTGCTCAGGCATTCTCATAGATGGAGGAAATTCTGGGTGGCCTCCATCAGGTTAAAGACCCCAGTGCTTCTCACGTCACAGGGGAGATGGAGTGGCCAAGGATGCGAGATGCTGCTGGCCTCCAGCAGGACAGGACCACCCCGGCCTGGGGCGAACCCATCACCAGGTTTTAGGAAGCACATTGCATCTCTGGCGCTCTCCGCCTCTCCTCTTATTTATGAAGCTCTCCCAGCGTCCTTGCCAAGAACAAAAAGGAATTGTAGCCGAAGAGGCGAACCCAGGCTATCAGAGGGTGTCAGTCAATAATGACTCGTTTCGTGGTTTTCAGTCTGACTTTCACCGTGAACTCAAACGTCCACCCACACTGGCCCGTGCCAAGAAATGTGAGATTGGACCCTGAGGTTAGAGGGAGCTTAATTGGATGTGAATCTGAAATAATTACCTGTCATGGGTTGGAAATTGAAACGACCTCCCAGGTTAGGAGGTGAAGGAGACCAAGTCAGACACAAAGACTAAAGCGATCGACGGCAGTAGGCAGCCCAGGAGTGGGCTCCGTAAAGCCCTTTCTAGGGAAGGTTAATACTGAGGGTGAAAAGGAACTTCTGGCAAAGAGAAAAAGAACTAACAAGTATAAGCAGCTGGCATGAGCCCTGTGTTGATCTGGGGAGGCCCCAGTCAACTTTGAGCTGTCACTATTGTCACACCTGCTTCTGGAATGAGGACACTGAGGATCCTGGGGTCACGTCACGTGCTCAGGGTCACAGAAATGTGAGATTCCAAGTCTCCTTGACTCAGAACCAGGCCCTTGCTCCAAAAACAACTCATTACCTCTAAAAAGGAACGGAAAGAAATCCGACACTGCTTCTGGGGTGTGGACACACTCATCTAATTCTCTCCAATCTACAGAACTCTCCAGAACACTCATTCTTCTCACACCCTTTGACTCCAACCACTCTCCATTCCAGGGTCCCAGTTCCCCATCCCTTTACTTTCCTGGCCATATTTTAGGACTCATTTGTGTCCCACCCTCTCTGTTCTTCAATCACCGCCACGCGTGGAAGATTTAGGTACCAGATATCTCCCACACTTGAATTTATTTTTTTTGGTCCTAACAAGAATCCTATAAGAGGCATTTTAATCCCCATTTTATAGGTGAAGAAACTGAGGCTTGAGGATGTTAAGTAATTTGCCCAAGGGCACCAGGATAAGAAACATAAGCAACTTGTAAAACGAAGATGTCTGTTCAGACCCCTGAGTGCACAATTTCTCTGACTCTGTGCCTTTGGGAAGAATCTGGTGGGAGGTAAAATTGGCCTCGTTGTTTCCACGTTGGGGTCCCCAGAGGCACAGGAAGCCCTCCAGGCTCCCAGACCCTTTTCAGTTATTCTCAGGGGTGAACTGATGCTTGCAATGCATTTATTGATGCAGCAGCCAGGAACGTGTTTTTGGAAGGCCCTGCTTCTGCAGGGGCGTGAGATCCTTGGGTGTCCCTGGCCTGGAAGCCTCAAGGACCTCCCAGACTGTAAAGTTTTTGCGAGGTGGCATCTTTTTCATGTTTGCTTTTGTTTATGCAAAACTTATGGTCTCCACACCTCTCAGATGATTGTTATTAAAAGCCAAATACCACAACCAACCTTTACTCATAATCAGTAAAAGTTGACTGTTTCCAGGACTCCCTTCCTCTTTCATTTTTAGCTAAGCTGCTCAGTTCTCAGCTATCACAGAAACAACATTTGTTTAGCTTTTCTTTTGCATCTGCCACATGCCAGGCTGTGATGGACGCCCTACACGACCAATCCCATTCAATAATCATTGCCACCACCTGCAAGGGCGCTGTCTCCCCCACCTTCCGTGAATGGAGGACTGAGCCTCTGAGGGGCAGAGGTCTCTGCCCGAGGTCTCACAGAGCCCAGATCCGAGCTCAGGCCTGGGTCGCCCAAGCTGCCCTCCCTCCGTCACGACTCGTACTTCTCACAGGCCAGGCGTGATAACCAAGGCCCTGTGGACTCCTCTTTCTCTTTCAAATGCCCTTCAAGATGCCACACCCTAAAGGACGCTGGCAAAGATACCCCAGGGTGTGAGATCTCACTTCCTGAGCCCGGAAGAGGAAAGATGGTGACAAAGTGAAAGTAATTTCTTCTCCCCTCCAATACGCGGGGAAGGGAGGAAGAAGGAGACACCTGCTGAGTAAAGGGGCAGACATTTAGTAGGAGCCTGCTTTCACGTCCGGCACTTCCCATGCATGAACTCGGTGAGGTCTCACAGCATCCCCGAGGCAGGAACAGTTAGTATGTGCATTACACAGAGAAGAAAGTGGGACACAGAGGTGCACAACTGGCACAAGGTTGCCCGGAAGATCTGGGATATGAACACAGAGGTTCCACAGCCAACTTTTAGAGGTTTAGCCCACTTTTTACCATTTCTCCCTTTTCCGTAGGGTAAAATTTCAACTCCTGACCTGGCATTCAGGCCTTTCACAGTCTAACTCAAATTTCCTCATCTGACTCTACCCTATCCCATCACCTCCATCAAAACCACACTGTGCATCCGCCATCTTGGAGGATGCTCCCATGCTGGTCACCTCTCTTCTGGGTCCAGGAAGGACGTACAAGTGAGTGAAGCACAATGTCTGGTCATTTAGACCTTGTTGGGAAACACAAAGTGGTCCACAGTTAACTAGGCCACAAGGCAGAATGAGAGGAATTCAGGGGGACACCTGGCCTCTACGGGAGCAGCGAAGACGGGCAATGAATCCCAACTCCTGTCATTACGCAGGGGGCTTCCCGTTGGCTTGAAGGCTGACGAGGATTTTGACGTGCAGAAAAGGGGAAATGAGTGGCGTTTCAGAACAAAGCCCCAGAGGCCTGCAAATATATGGTGCGCCGAAGGAAGCGCGAGCTGTTTGCGGTTGTGACCGTAGGGGCATCCTGACTCGTTTCCTTTACAGGTAGACAGAGGGTGAATTTGAGCTTAGCCGCATTTTACTCACTTGCGCAGCTTTCACAGGCAGTCTGTTTTAGCCTGAAATTCACAGTCCGAATTAGCAAGAGCATATTAAGAAGGCAGGATGGACGGACAGGACAGCCAAGGAAGTCCCTGGCGTGTATCGGTGACCCGTGTGCATCCCAGACTGAGGGCGCCACAGGGCAATTAGCAAAGAGAGGCTTCATTGATGGGTCCTGATGGAGTGTTTCTTACCGGAATAGTGGTTCACGAGATCCTCCAGGCACTGGAAGGTGAGCCTCGGGGAAATGTAATACCAGTTGTTTGGCAGGCGGAAGATACGGTAATGCTTCACCTGCCGGTGTCTCACCGAGAGTGAATAGAAACCTGCAGAAGATGGAGGACACGTCAGTAGCATTCTACATGTCCCCACACGAGAGCAGCCTGCGGAGGAGCCCCCCCACCACTGAAGCCGAGAGATGCTCTCAGCCTTGTGCTATCGTGACGATACCCTGACTTGCATGCTTGTCTTTGGAACAGCAGCTGCTAGAACCCATCTGCCTGGATGGAGCTCACCCCAGGAGCATACTATCTTAGCAGCCGGGGTGCACTAATCCTGTCACAATACAAGTTTTCAAGGGCATGGGCTTAGTCTGTGCTTTGTGACCTTCCCATTCGAGCGGCTTCCACGTGCTTTTGTGGGCCTTGGGACCAGGTTAAATGATCAGAGTTGGGTTGCACCTTGTGGCTCCAGGGCCAGTGGTCATTCTTGAGTCCTTCCTGCATGTAAGTTCTATGATGTTTGTGCTGCCGTCTTTCCTGCTGTCCCACCAGTGCCGCCATGCCACCCATTTGAGGGGCCTTACAGATACGCCCCCATTTCTTGGTCCCTATTCCCTCTGACTTAGGCTTGGTTTTCTCAGAAATTTGGAAAAGAGGCAATTAAGACATTTTTGTGGTATCCCTAAGAAGCAGGTAAACCATGTTATTTCTCCTGAAGCACGATTAGAGTAATGACCCCATATGGGTTAGAAGAGCAGAAGCTTGGGTAAGTGCCTTCCCCTCTCTTAGCCTCGACTTCCCCAAATGGAAAGTGAGAGAATGGGGCTTAGGTCATGTTTAAGGGTCCTTGCTGCTCTGTCGTCTGGGGTCCCAGGAGGGAAGTACGCTCTAGAGGCGGTGAGGGGGCAGGTCCGTAGCATGTACCAAGTCTTTGCTGTGTGGGCTGGGCAGGGTGCTAAGCTATTTCCAAGCAACCTCTCTGTTGAGTCTCAGAAAGACCCCAGGAGGTATTGTCCCCAAATATCTTACAGATGGAGAAACTGGGGCTCAGCGCCCCTGAGCCACATGGCCAGAGGCACACAGCTCGGAAAGGGCAGACCTGGGCTTTGCCCCTTGTCCCCGGCAGGCCTCCGAGAGCATTGATGGGCAGCCCTCTCTTTGCCCCAGGCCTGCCCTCTGACTCAACCCAACATGTGTCTTCTGGTAATGTCAACGGGGACTGGAAGTATGGTGAGCAGGTCAAGGGGCAGGTGGAAACTTATCAGAACTTTGCATACCCAAGGGAGCAGAGCCCGCCACCCCCACCCCAGCCCCACTCCAGCTGCACCTCTGCCTGATGACAACTTTAGTTTTAGACAAACTTTGGCACTTCAAGCTGGGATCTCTCTCCCCCACCTCTCGGCCATGCCAGCTTAGAGGGTCTGAGTCTGGGTCTCCTGCCTCGGGGGACCCCGGGATATGCACAGAAGTTTCCCCTTTGCTTTGATCTTGCTGTCCCTCGGCACATTCAAGTTTTTGAGAGAAACGTTTTCCTTGGATTTTTTTATCACTATGTATGGTCCCTGCATCCCCAGAGTTAAGGCTGGTGCTCGTTTCGGTGAAGGGCTCCAGCACCAGGCAGCCCTGGCGCTTAATAGACGAGTGGGAAATACTCTCAGATGCCACGTCTCTTTTCTCTGATGGCAGGTGTGCAAGAAGCAGGCTAAGAACTGGAAAATATCTTCTCTATGTAAAAAGCTATGATTATTCTCAGTCTGGGAAAGCCCTAGCTGCTAAGTATTCTGCTCCCGCGAGTTTAAGTGCTTACTCCCACCCACACAGCGTGCTAAGCACTTTCCTATTGTGAATCCCACGTTATAGGTAAGGAAACCTGAGCTTGGAGAGACAGGAGACTTCTTGGTAATTCACACAGCCCAAATGAGAGTTCGGGACCCTTGCTCTGAGCCACGACAGAGCCCTGCTATTTCTTTTTCACTGAATTACTTAACGCATAGGAAGTACAGGAATTATAAGGATAAGGATCATGTATGTAAGAAGGTGCGTCTGCTTGTGCTGATGCTCTAAGCTCTCTGATTGCATCATAGGGCACAGCGGGAACTGATATTGAGGGTCCCCTGTGCAGCGAGAGCACTACAATTATTAGTGCATTTGAATCATACCGCAACCTCACAGGGGAGGGGCTTTCTCTCCATTTCACAGATGAGAAAACTGAGCCCCGAGAAGTAAATGGCCCGCCCAAGTCAGAGAGCCTGAGAGCACAGGCCAGGCCTAGCTGGAGGCCCATGGGCTCTCTGCGCCAGGTGCTGCCGACGCCTGGCGTTCGCTTTTCTTCTCGGCTGATGGGAAATTTTCCAGCAGGAGTCAGCAGGGCCTGCTATGGGGCAGGGCCACGGCCGTGCCCATGAAGTCCGGGCTACCTGTTTCTAGGCCCCCAGCTGTGATGCTGGCCTCACCGGCGGTGTGTGGGCGCAGGGGGCTCACCACGTTGGATGGATTTGTGTGCGTCCTGGGAGGAGGGAAAATGAGCCGCGTGATGAGTCAGCCGGGAGCAAAAGGTGCTTGTCTGACCAGAGCATGGAAAGATGAGTCGCAGGCCGCTCACCTTTCTTGGTCTCACTCTCTCTGATCATGAAGGAGCCGATCTTCGTGTCTGGCAGCTGCAGCAACTCTTCGGCCTTGTCTCTGCCCAGTCCTTCAAAAAGCCAGCTGGGAAGCAGGGGGACAGCCATGAGTATGTATCCTGAGCACTGAGCACGCCCTCCCCCAGAACAGACAGGCGGGTGCAGAATTAACATCGAGGCCCAGTTAATATAAAACTGTCGGGATTAAAAAGAGGAGGGCAATCGGCTGCTCCTTCCTTCCTGCCTTCTTCCTACTTCTAATCTTTCCAGTAAGATTCCTGAATACCTATTGCATGCCAGGGATTACTGCGGATAATGAAGACACAAAGATGCACAAAACGTATTTCTTATCCCGTTTGTCAAATGCCACCTGCACTGTGCCCTTCTGCATTACATAATATATCAGTATTTTAAAATGAGATAAGGGACCTATCTGGTAGATTGTTTACTGTCTACCTCCCTTATCCTTCAATTTCCCAGCCTCTCCCTCACCACCCCGTGAGGGCAGGGACTGTGTCTGCCTTTTTGGGTTCCATCTTTGTGTCCAGGTTATCAAGCTTGGCGTACATTTGTGAATGCATGGGTGGACACAAGAAAGAGAGCAATAGTGGTGCATCGTTTCACCAACTCGACAAGCCCCACTTTGCATTCATTCTAGTTCCTTCTTGTCTTCTCTTTCTCGACATATTTTAAGCACAGTTGTCATGGCCCTATGCATGTGCATGTGTTTCTTTCTTTTTTTTCACCTAACACTAAAAAAAGGTGGTTGTTAATCCCGGAGTCCTGCTTTCCAATGGAAAGTTCGCCTTCCGTAGGAGAGCCGACAGTTTTGAATACTCTTTAGAAAGCAGCTCATACACAAAGGAATCAGTGTTCAGAGGAAAGGGCCCTCAGTCATGTTTCAGAGCAGGCTCCGCCAGGTCTCGGCGTGCAAGGAAATGCTTTGTTAGCAGCTGGCTGGTGCGCACTCGGAAGCAACTGCGCATCGCTTTGAACGGTCTCCGTATTTCAGTGAGTGGACCTCGCCTTTTAATCCACAGCTCTGAGTGCGTGTGTGCTGTGGGGAATATTAATGCTCTCCTGCTTTGCACCCTTTAACGTTCCCCGTGGCACACAAGTGGGTCACTGAAGGGGCCAGCTGAAGTACCACGTGTGAGAAGACCCACAGAAACAACCTCAGATGCCATTTATTTATGGACTGGTCTCCAAGAGCGCTTCTGTTGTTAAGACGGTGATTATACCATATTTGGCCAAATATTTCAACTCTTCCCTTAATTCTCCACAATGTATAGCATATTATTTTAGTGTACATGACAAGTTTTCATCCTTTCAAGTCCTTACATGAAATTCCACTTATAAAAATGAAGACAGTGTAACAATAACAATAGCTGTGTATGAATACTAATTCTGGGCCGCATACCATATTAAGCACTTGAAATCTAATCCTCTTATCAACCCTCTAAGACGGGTAGTATGACCTCTTTCACACCGATGAGGATACTGAGGGTCAGAGTGATCAAGTAATTTGTCCAAGTTGCCCCATGTCAGCAACTGACAGAGCTAGAATTGGGACGGCCAGTTCCATAACCACTATGCCGCACTTCCTCTCTTCCTGTTCTATATTTTAAGGACATCTATTGCATGTACTAGATCAGAAACTCCCTAGGGTCGTGATTCCGTTTTATTCATCCGGGTTCCCCACCACCCCCAGCTCCTGCCAGCCTTCGGCATGAAGGGGTTGATGCTTGTTCGCTGAACAAATGAATGGATCAGCGACACGCAGCTGACTGGGAAGAGTTCCGTGACCCACATCTCTCTCAGAACGTAACTCTCACGGCAGCTCCTGCCCCACTTCTGCTCCCTTTCATCATCCTCAGTGCAGACATGGGGTTTGGTCCTCATGATCAAAGCAGTCATACTGCAATGAAATGCAGCGAATTACATTCTTCAAGATATTCAGGCACTTATGTCTGCTTCCCCAGGGGAGCATGTGGCACGCACAGTCCTTCTCTGAATGTGAAGAAGTTACTTCTGGATCCCTTCAAATAAAAACGGTGCTTCCTTTCTTCCTTCCTATATAGTGTACACTTCTTTGCCAAGGTCCCGCCTTGGTAGCCTGACAGGTGAGAAGACTGTGGCTCAGGGAGGGTAAGAAGCTTTCCCAAGGCTCTTCCATGGCAGTCAGGGAGCGAGCCCCCCATATTCCGGCCGGTGCTCTGGCCTCCAGAGCTGCTATCATGCCGCAGGGCCTCTCCTGTGAAAGTGCCGGAGAGAGCGATGTGCCTGTCTCGTCTGCCACGCCCAACCGTTTAGAGTTTCTCTTCTTCTGCTTGACTTACCCATTTGTCAGGTTGGGTGTGTCAGCATTGCTGGGAGGAAGCGTTCTCTGTGTTTTGGATGTGATTTAGGCAATATGTGTCGAGCGCTTACTGTAATGCCAGGCATTGCTCCAGGAACTACCTGTGTATCATCTCATCTCATTTCCCTAACTCCGCTATACCTTGGTCATACTATTATATATTATTATCCCTATTGCTTGATAATATGACTTCTGTTTGACAAGTGAGGAAAGGAAACTGATGCGTAGAATGTTGAGTAGCTCGTCCGCTGTCACAAAGGCAGAGAGCAACAGAGGCAGGATTTGAAGCCAGACAGACTGACTTTTGGCTGCTGCCTCCTGTGAATATTTCCTGAGTGTTTATTACCATGTGCCAGGAATGCCGTGTTAGAGCTGAAAGGTCTACCTCCCGTCGTCTGTCTTACTGATGGGGAAATCGAGTCTCGGACAGGGGGAGGGGTTAGCCCAAGGTCACCCCCTTCCTTGCTTGCGGACTGAGCTGTGAGTAGAAGTGACCCTCTGGAACCTATGCCTTCCGTCCCACTGTACTGTGCTGGAATCGCTCTGTGCACACTTACAGACCGCTAGCATAAATACCGTGCTTTATCGATGCTATCTCAGAAATGTACTCACCCATGGTAAACTCGGGCCACGCATATTCCAGGAATATAGTTCTCTCGACCGGTGCTAAGGGAAATGGCTTTCCACCATCCCCCCTCGCTGTAAGAGGAAGAACAGAGAGGACAGGGAGAGAGGTAAGTGGCAAAGCAAATGAGTGAATGAATCAATCAACAGAGACATCAGATTTAATCTGGGGCACCTCGGGACGTTCCTTTTTAAACACCTATCATTGGCCCCATGTCCCGAATTTCTCCATATGAAAATGTAGTTTTTAAGCGTATCCCCCATTCCAAGCTAACCAGGAAATCTTCTCATGGGCTGGCAATAGGCCCCTTTCAGAGATCAGCAGCCTATGTTTCCAGCTGATGTTCCACCATTGGAGACTTTTTAAAATAAATGTTTAATACACTGATTTCTACTCTGCAAGAGAACCAAGCTAGTTTCACGTGCCTATATCAATAAGGATCTATATGAAAGGGGCTTAGAGCTGCTATTTCTCTATAGCCTGTTTCAAACCACGAGAGACAACAGGATAGAAGACAATACTTTTTGTTTATCAGCAGAAGTTTCTTCAGAACCCTGGGTCCTCCTTCCCATGGTATATAACGTAAAGTCTGCACTGGTATATAATATCAACACTGCATGTATGGTGGGAGATGAAGTCAATATGAGAAGCAAAAGTTGGATCATAATGGGTGTCAAAACCAACTTAAGGAATTTAAATCTTACCTATCAGGCAATGGGGAGCCACTGAAGGTTTTAGACCACTGGCAGCATTGAGGAGGATTAAGCTTGAAGGCCTGCCGTATGGGCCAAATTTCTCACCTCACAATCAGACCAGAGCCAGCATGGAATTGGACAGTTGTAGCTAAAATCTGATGACTCCCACCGACATAGAGTTCATCCTTTTGGGGCAATTATAAAAGTTTTGGAAAGCTAACTCACTCAGAAATCACGCGCAGTTTCTCCCCTCGGCGGAATATGGGGGGGCTGATGTCAGGAGATGGGTAGTCACACAGCACCGCCAGGAAGTCGCTGTCCAGTCCTGGGGTAACAAAGACAAGGGCTGTTCTTATTCACGGGGACAAAAAGGCGGCCCTGGGAGAGGAGGGCGCAAAGATGAGCCCCTCCTGGGACTTTCCAGCTGCAGACACCTGACTGGTTTGGAGACAGCAGTTTACGGCAGGCCCTCCTCTCTGCAGGAATGGTGGTGCAGCGTGCCCGAAGGACGGCAGCGGGTCAGGTGACCTCCTCCCATCCTTAGCTTGCCTTGGCCCTGATGTTCTCCTCTGAGAAATGGGGATCCAGAGACCCCTGAGCTGAAGTCACAAGATCTGGCTTCAGGGTCTGCCCCGTGTCTACTGATCTATACAATCTTGGGCAAGTCCTGGAGTGCCTACTAGCCTCAATTTCCCCACCTTCAAAACAGCGCTAATGGTACCTCATTCCAGGGTCCTTCTGAGCGGAGATGAAAGTACGTGGCAGCACCTCATGAATGACAGGGGCTATAGACACATCCTTTATTACCATCCCCTGAGGTGCCATCTCTGGGCCTGTGGGCCCCACATCTGTAACCCTGGGGTGGGGAGGTTGGGGTGAGGCTGCATGAATTCTGAGGACCCACCAGGACCAGGAGACACTAATTCTGAAGCTCGACAAAGCACTTCTTCCTTATAGGACATAGGGAACCGTATTGGAGATCTCTTTAAGAGGGACTTTGAGGTGAGAAGGCGGGCGTTGAAGAACGTTGAGTCTTTTTAATCACATGGATACTGAAAGTCCTTCTGGCAAAGTTTTGAAAAGGAAAGCATGCTCTCTGGTGTACTCCTGTGAGTACAGATTACTGCAGAGCAGAGATTCAGTGCTAACGTGTGAATTCGCTTTTTGCTACCAAGTAAAATCCGTCTTTCACAGCCTAGTGATTTGTCATCATTCAGATGCATTAGATGCAGGGTAATATTAGGGTACTTTTGGGGGGAAAGTAATATACCTTATAAATCAGCAAATACCGTAATTGTTTACTACAATGTTTATCACTCCATGCACTGGCTGAGCATCTCAACTCAAAATTCTGGATAACGCATCGTTTATTCATTCATTGGGCAATTCTTCGCTTGAGCACCTACTGTGGGCCAAGCGTGGCGATAGGGCAAGCTCTGATGGAGCTCACGCTCGAGTGAATACCCAGTAATTGTGGGAGGGGTAATCCCTACCCACTTCACCCCAGGAAAATCTGGAGAAATCTCAGCACTCAGGCATGGCATGCTTGGTGGCCCAAAGAGGCCACTTTCTAGGAGCCGGATGCTCCCGTGTTGGGTCCTCTAGACCCTGCCCCTTACAACTCAGATGTCCTGCAGTCTCCAAGTCGTAAGTCCCCAGACAGACTAAGTTGAAAGAGAGCTTGAGGACTAGAATGAGTAAGAGTGGATCGGAAACAGGTGATCACCGTGAAACAGCGCCCTCAGATGCATCATTCACTTGGGGATGCCGAATCGCAGATGATAAACATGTAAAAGCAAGCATTTCTGGCTGTGCGTTGGAAACCAAAAGTGCCTCCAGGTGGCCGTGGTCACTGAGAAGGGTCCAGGCTCATGGAAGGAGCAGTGTCGGGCCGCGGAAGGGCTGACCCTATTGAGGCCTCTGACCTTCCCTGAGCCTGTAAGGAGACCCCCTTGCATTCTGCTTTGCTCAATTAAAAAAGGGGTTCTTCCTTTGGGTAGCCCAGACCCCACCCCAATAATTACAGGCAGCTCTAAAATGTATGTTGGGTTGGCATCCAGGAGTCCAGGGTTCTGATAATGGGTGGCTCCAGATTTTGTGGGGCATGAAGCTTGTGCCAATTTGCAGGCCCTCTTTAAGAAAAACAAGACAAAAGTGCAAATGCAAAATCAGGCCCAGTCCCTAGGAAGGTTGCCGAGCCAGTGAGGGGGCCCTAATGCGTAGGGTTTGTTCAGCTTCCTGGTAAGCCCGCCCGACTATGAGGGGGACTCTTCTGCTCTGAGTGTGGACGCATGTTTCCCCTCTTGGACCTTGGTTAGTATGGACGTTGAAGGATTGGGAAACACCTGCATGAGGGAAATCTGGACGACTGGCCCCAAATACGGAGGGACCACTTATTAACATACACGCTCTCCACTGCGTGCCCAGCGCAGCCCTGTTTTTCCTGACTTGCCAGGTTCCCCCATCCTCAGAGCCTGTGTACAGGTTGCTCCTCTGCCAGGCACACACCCTGCTCTCCTCTCTCTTGTCATCCCTGCTCCGTCAACTCAAAAATCACCTCCGGAGGCTCAGCCACCTGCTATACCCCGCTCTCGGGCCCCTGTGCTTTTCCTTTGAAGCAATGCCCCCGGTCAGGTCGTATTTTCGTTTGTGTGGCTGTCAGGGGAGTGACTGTGGACTCCAGGGGGAGCTGTCTTGTAGCTCCCAGCCCAGCAGCGAGCCTGTCCCATCAAGGATGCTCGAGGCAGGTTTGTCCAGTGACAGTATGGAGAGGCCCCTGTGCCACCCACCGTGCCCTTAAAAACTGCCATTATGCTGCATTTTAAAAGTAAAACCTGATTTGTGGCAGACAGAGCAGTGGGCGGTCATCACAGAACCAGCCCCTTGGGGAAATCAAGGGTTGAGATGAGAGGCACAGCATTTGTTATTTGTGACAATGATAGAATCTTGAAACAGACTGCGCATCTACAGAGCGATGGGGGCTTTGATCTCCCATGCAAGATTAAGAGCGCGAAACAGAACAACTGTCTTTCCTAACGTTAAAAACAAAACCCAACAGAAACAAAAACAAAAAGAAAACCCCCGTTATAAAAGCAATGGTTTCAATGGGGGAAAAGAGGCTATGGGGCTGGAGAGTTTCGATTTCACAATAACAAAGCTGAATTTCCTGTGGAATTTCCGTAATAATGATGTTTTTATAGCTATAACACTTAAAACATCACTGAGAAAATCTTGTATGGGGGCTTTTGCTTAAAGGTAATGGCCTTTCTGTGGTCCTTTGCAAGGGATTTCTGGCTCATCTCTATTACCTTTATCACCTTTGGTATTAGGCAAACAAAAGACTGATTCAGTGGAAGGCACTGGAGTTGGTTTGTGTTTATACAGGAAGGGCAGCCATTCTCAACAAGATCGGGTGCCAGCATCCCAACCAAGTGTTCCACCAGCTTTGGTCCCTACAGTGAAATAAACTCATGGTAGGAAATTTAAGTTTGCTGATCCGATTCAAACACATGAGCACGTCTTCCTGGGGCCCCCTGGCTTTATGGAGAGCTGAGCATTTGAATTAACTCAGATAAATGAGTGACGTGAAGAGAAGTGCTGAGGAAGCCGATGAGATTATTGCAGACATAAGATGAGGAAATAAATTAAGTGAAGAAAGCTGTGCTGGGCAAGAAAGGAGAAATCCCGAGAGAATTTTCAGAAGAGAGGACGGGCTTTGAAATCAATCAGGCCTGGCTTCAGTTCCGCCTCCACCACTGAATCGCTCTGCGATGTGGGGAGAGATTTATTTTTAACCAACCTGAGCTCGAATTTCTTCGTGTATAAAAATGGGAAATATCAAAATCTGCCTCATAGGATTCGGTTTGGATTCGAGATGCAGGGTATGCGTAGAGCCTGCTTCAATAAGTAGCAGTTAATGTCATTTTTATGGGATGGGGTGGGGTTATCCTTCTGTAATCCAAGACCAATTTCAGACAATAGCTTCTTAAATTTTCAAAAGCCTCCAGTGGTATAAATTTGAAAATATTCTTATCTTCTAAAAACAAACTCCATTTGGTGAGAACAGAAGATGAAATTCAAAAGACCAATATTTGCTGAGAGCTCAACTCAAAAACGAGTCGGATTGAACAAAAGGTACCAAAATGTAAAACAGGAAATGAGCCCAGAAAAGGAAGGAGATTTACTAGACCAGGCAGACTTACTAGCCACAGAGATTACTTGGTTAAAAGAGGTTAAAAGAGGTTATTTATACTGCTTGGACTATCCTTACAATTTCTTCCGAAATGCTGAATACGTTTCAATAGGTCCCAGTTATAACTGTCTAGCAAAACCAGCCATTCTTTACTTCCAATGCTCCATACAGCCCAAAGCAACCCATCCTCTTAGTTAAAGGATGAAGAGATGGAGGCTGGGGGAGTTTTAGTAACATGTCCAGGGGAGAGCACCTCTCCTTGGTGCTTGGTTTCCAGGCTCTCCCCAGTTAACACTTGAACTGTGACAGGTTGGGACCAAGGCTGATTTAAATGACACTTCCTGGTTGGCGCAGGCAGCTCCGCGCAGTTGGTGGGCAAGGAGCTACACCACTCTGCGAATTGAGCTTCTGGGTTTGCATGCCTGAGTCATGCCCGAACTCATGACCTCCAGAGAATTCAGGGCTGGCCGGCCTTTAGTATCTTTTACAGGAGATACACACACCTAACCCATCAGATAGGGCTGCGCAGACTGGCCCGATGGAAGGTCTCCTGAGTTCTGTTGGTCACCACAAACCAAGAGTGGTACCTGTGGGTCCTGTGTTATGGGCTGGGGAGTGAGACACAGCAGTCCAGAAAGCTCTTTTCTGCCCAAAGCCTTGGTTTCTCCATCTGTTAGATGGGGCAGACTGGGTCTGAGTAGACCCTGAGGCTCTTAGATGCTACAGTGAGGTAGAAAGCCTTGCCCAAGAACACACAACCGGTAAGCTGAGTGCCTGGTTTCAAAACCGGGTTAACCTATCAGCAGAGGATGTAGACAACTCTTGACCTCCTGCTCTTATCTTGTCACAGCTGAGTATCATCCACACTTCTACCTACTTAAGAATTTTTTTCTTTATGTTAAATCACTTAAAAAAAAATCTTTAGTACCATTCTAAGAAATGTGAAATCTTGGGTTTGATGGGCTAGTTGTATTTTTAATAGTATCCGTTAAATGTACAATGATATAAAAGTTGAAGGATCACGTGCCACCTAAAACCATCTTATTTACCAGCAGTGGGGTGAGTAAGACCCAGATGGGAAATGCAGATCTGGTCAAAGATCTGACGCAGATTCTTGTCTATGGCATCCCTCTCAAGAGCACTTGAGTGTCTGTGTCATTAAATCTGGCAGCCACGCTCTCCCTTGCTCTAGAGAGTGTCCATGCCCTCAGAGCATGTGAGCTTCTGGAAAGTCCGTCCTCTCCAGGCATATAACGTGGGAGTGAAGAGAGTGACTGGATTCAGGCCACCTGGCTTCAAATCCCGTCTATCCCCTTCCGAGCTGTATGGCCTCCAGCATGTAATGGAACCTTCTTGTGCCTCAGTTTCCTCCAAAGCGCAGTGGAGATGACAATAGTGATTACTGCCTGGGCTGTTGTGAGAATCAAGAGTTGGTGTGTGTAAAGCGTGTGGAATCATGTCTGGCACACTATAAGCACCAAGTAGTTCTAACGATCCCCGTTTTGTAAGTGAGAACAGAGAGATGCTATGAAGACGAAGTGACTTCTCTCATCTCTTGTCGTGTGCTAGGGTAGGGGCAGGGCTAACAGCCAGGTCTACGGTCTATGAGTTTTAGGGGGTTTAAGATGCACCAGGGGGCTTATGAGGAAATAGGCATGCTGCCACCTCCCAGTATCACTGGATGCTGATGAGCTGGTCTGGGGTGGGGCTCAGGAATCTGCCTTTTTCACGACTTCCCAGGGGATCCGATGCACTTCATCTGAGGACCACTCACTGAGAAGCGCCAGGCTAGGTCTGAGACTTCCCTGCCCCCCTCCTCCTCCCCAGAGCCCCACCCACCCCTTCTTTCCACGGGGCAGCACCCTCGATGCTATGTAAATGCACGGCTTAGCGTTGTTTCCATCCTTGTGCAGACAGGGGTCTGAACAGTGTCCGGGTTTGCTTTACCACCTCTGTCAGTGAGATCTCACTTGAGGTCAGGGCAATCAGGAGGGGTAAGAAGGGAGGAGAGGGCAAAGATCGCCGCGATGTGACCGAATTCTCATTTGAAGGTGGAAATCATGCCATTTCCCACTACGTGGGAGTTCCCTAGGTCTTGTTCAATTCTGTACCGCCTGTGTCTGGCACGGAGGAGGAGTCCAAACGACACGTAGAATTACAGAGAAAATGAGCTATTTAAGATCATTTGTAAACAAGTCATGGAATCCCCAATTTTACCACTGTAAAACTTTTTGGGGGATGGCCATTTAGACATAGCCTGGTGCAATCAGATGACCCCAAATGGAATTTATAAAAAGGAATTCCACTCCCATGTATCAGGTAGTTACACTGTGCTGTGTGATTGCTGTGACGGAGGGATTGTCACGATCTGGTCTGAGAGCTGAGTCCCCACTCGTGGGAGCCTGGGGGACTTACCCAAGGTCACCCAAAGTCCAAGGGACTGAACCAGAAGCTCAACAAGGCCCTTCACCTGTGAGACCTGCCCTGTTTCCATCAAGTCCTACTCTCTCTGTGGGTTTTGTGATATTAGTCTCTAGGAGCTAGACTAATCAGGAATGTTCTGGAAAGCTCAGTTGAGCAGAAAACAGATGGTCAGAGCTGCCTTCCAAGGCATTCACAGCCCTGGTTAGGGGGAAGAATGATCTAAAAGCTCAGAAAACTTGTCCATCTCGAAGTCCACAGGTTGGCCTCCTGCCCATCCCCGCGCAGCGCCAGCGGCCTTTGGTGCTTTTATGCTGCACTGTTCACGCTAAAGTCAGAGGATGCGCGAATCGTTCGTTGGCCTAAAGCAGTCAGCTCCCCATACTCCCTCCTGAGTATCTGAGACTAGCCAAATGAGTAAGCACGAGGGTTAGCTGAGAAGGCATTCATTCTGTGAAAACCCAAAGAGAGTCTACCTAATGCAGCATGATGCGTGCCGCCTTCTCCCTTATTCAAGTAGGTGTCAGAGAAAAGAGGAAATCAAGCTGGGACCCGGCACAAGGGAAACTTTGCAGGGTGGAGGATGGAAAGGTCACCCGCCGATGCTTGATGTGGTTGCCTAGATCACAACTGGGTACGACCTGGGGAATTCTCTTTCCCGGGGGTGGAGGGTTGGGGAGACCCCTCTACGCCCTTTTGAGAGGTGACCTCCCACCCACACCGTGGAAAAAGAGAAACTTATTTCATGACAATTTGCATTTAAAAAATAAAGGCAAATGAGCGAGTCCTCGGGGGCCCATGTTTTCATGGGGTTTGTTCAAGCATGCCGCCCCCCAGCCCCAGGGTGAGAGGTGACAAGGCAAGATGGATTCAGTGGGCGAGTCCTCCTGAGCTGGCCTGGGTCCTGGGCATTAGGGTTTCGGTTTTCTAGAGGTGGCCCTGGTGGGAGGAGGTGGGGAGGGGCCCAGGCTCCCTGCGGTGGCAGCAGACATGGCCGCTCGGCACAGCTGCATGGTGCTGAGCTTAAATGGGAGGTAAAGGGCCCCGCTACCCTCTGCTCCACCTTATCACGTGGTTCCATCTCCTTTGTCCTGGGAACATTCTTTTGATCTTTTCCCCTTGGGTTTGGGGAGGAGAGTGACTGGGCTGGAAAGGAGAGCCGTGGCATTGCCGCGTCTAACTTGAGTGGGCTGTGGGCTGCAGGTCTCTGCAGGGCTCTGTGACCTGCCTAAGCTGGCTGTCTCCCTCTGGGGAGAAGTGAGAAGTCATGGAATGAGCGTCCACAGAGGCAGGGTGGGAACCTGGCTCCGTCCACTCTGGGGTTGAGTGTTGAGTGGCGGCTCAGCAGGCTTCATGGTGAACACCATGCTTGTGAAGTTTCCCCAGGGCGGTGGTGAGAGGGGCACGGGGAATCCAGCATGGTCACCCCTGTCAGGAGATGGAGACCAGGCCCCGAATGCTGTGATGTCAGGGAGAAGGCAGAAGTGTCCCAAGGTTCCCCATGACTCACCCTGGGGACACCGATGGGTTACCTGACCTCCTGACCACCTCCTTCCCAGGGGCTTAGAGGACCCACATGGTGGCCCCCAGTGACCTGACTAGGAAATAGAGGCCAGGGTGTTCAAAGCAACCGGCACCACTGCCCCCGGGGCTGCTGTGCCCTCTCCCAGCTCTCTGGCCACGCCCTGAAGGACCATGTGGCTTTAGGAGCCTAGCTTCACCTGGCATCTCCAGGAAAAGCTGACTTTTGTCATCACTGATTAATCCGTGACATCGTGCCATCCCTCTAGAACACCTGATGCTACCAATGGAACACAAGGATTCTGTTATTTTCAGGAAGATTTCCTAGGGCTCGTGTCTAGTTTTGTGAAGTTACATCAAAAAAGCCGTTGCAGCACTGTGATAATATATACCCAGGATAACATTACACCCATGGATATTACATCACGGGCTGGCAGGGTGGGGTGAGCAAGAGCCTAGGTTTCCAAATCGGACTGGCCTCAGTTGGAAATAGGACTCTACAAATAGCTAATGAGACAAACCATATTCCCTTTGTGGGCCTCAGTTTCCCCACCTATAAAATAAAGGGATTGAACCAGATGCTCTCGAAGGTACATCACAAAACCCCAGCAAGTCAGCATCCTTCCATTGCTCAATCTTTTTCGGTGGAGTGGGATGAGAAAGATCGGCCCTGTGCTAACATCTGTTGCCATTCTTCCTCTTCTTTTTGTTTTCCACCCCAAAGCCCCAGTACATAGTTATATATCCTAGTTGTAAGTCCTTCTCGTTCTTCTATGTGGGATGCCACCACAGCATGGCTTGATGAGCAGTGCGTAGGTCTGCTCTGGGATCTGATCCAGCGAACCCCAGGCCACCGAAGCTGAGTGTGTGAACTTAACCACTCGGCCACAGGGCCGGCCCCCTGCTCAATCTTTTTTAACATTTAATTATGAAAATGTTAACGACAAGCAAAGCCAGAGAGACCAGAATAAAGAAGCCCTCTGTACCCATTGCCCTGCTTCAACAGTTAGCAGCATCTGCCGTCGCCCCGTCTTCACCCCGGGCTCCCGCGGGATGGAGTTAAGCATCCACCCAAGAAGCCAGACTTACCATCCGGGTTGGGCAGAGGCCTCTCGGGAGGGGCCGGGGTGGATCTCATGCTGTTTCCCATTTCTCTCTCTCCCTGGGCTGTCGAAGTCGCTCGAAGCCTACGGCACAGGGGATACACACAGCAAGTCAACCACGCGCCGAGCCCTCTGGGTGGAGACTGACCTAGTTTAGAGTACATCGTGCATCATTTTTTCAGGCGGCTCGCTCCTTGAAAGGCGGGTGTTTTCAGGGGAAGATGAGATTGGCGAGTGTTGGTTACGTTTGCGCAGATTGGCGAGTGTTGGTTACATTTGCGCAGCTCTCATTCTTTTATCAAGGGAATGACAGAGAAAAACCACAGAGAGGGAAGTTGCTCGCAAAGGCTGTTGGTGGCGAAAGTTTCCATTCCTGCCTGCGCCAGCTGACAGCGAGCGGCGGTGTTTGTGTGAGCGGTGGCAGCCTTTCACACGCCCGCCCCCCCCAGGGTCTCTCTTCCCGGGAGCCCGGCCCTGGACTCCCAGCACAGGGATCGGGGGACACTGAAAACTAAGGAGTGAAGGGGGTGAGCAGAGGATGCTTCCTGTTTCAACTTTCCCTCTTTGGTTCTAGTTTTTCAACATGTTCTAACAAACACTGAAAAGGGGAAACTCGGTAACGAGGCTGTATGTTTGCAGCACGCCACATGCGCCACTCCTGCACTTGTACATCGGCTCTTACTTTAGATTATCTTGGGATCGCTGCACCCATAACCCCATTTTTCAGTGAAGGAAACTGAGTCCCAGAGAGGGTAAGGGCCTTGTCTAAGGTCACATGGCACGTAACCGTGGAGCCAAGATTTGAACTGCTGACACTAAGTCTCCGGTTTGTTCCATAACGGTTCCAATTCTGGCTCTGCACGTCCAAGCGAGTGACCTTGGGCAAGTCATTGACCTGCTCCTGTCTGTTTCGGGGAATACTAATGAAGCAACATTAGGTCGTGGCTGCAAAATTAACAGATAAAGCGTGTGAAGCCCTTAGACCACGGCCTGGCTTAAAATCCATGTTATTGCCATTTACAGTTTCTGATTACATTTTCTGATTCTCCCATAGTGATAAAAGCTTGAATTCAGGGACTTTATACAAGGATTTTGGAAAGGAACTTAAGTGATTAGAGAATGAAAGTGTTCTCCCGGGCTGCTAGAAGCATAGAGAAGGCCACACCCACAGACAGAGCTGTCTGTGTCTCATGAGGACAGAGAGGAGAACTGATGGGGCAGGTTCCCCCAGCCCGTGTCCAGCCCAGCTAGAAACTTGCCCTCCATCCCGTTCTTTGTCTGAGGTTCAGGGTCAAGGCCTTATGAGTTTGAAAGTCAGGCAATCCAACCCCCTCTCTGGCCTTAAGTCCTTCCTCTACGTGCTCAATGTTCAGATTCTGGAAAGGTCTATGGTCTCAGAGCAAGGCATTTCAGAGGCTGAGGGAGGTCTGCACCATTTCCTAATTTTTGAGGAGAGAGGGGGCAGGTGGGAGACCTAGCATATTAGGAAACAAGGAAAACCAAAATGAGTATTTTTTGAAAGTTAATATGTTTTAAATATTTCCACGAACACTTCATCAGTTATAACTCAGACTGATGGAGCCCAATATAATGGTGCTGTTCCCAACATAATTACAAGGCTTGCAGAAACGGTAAATTCAAAATGCGCTGCAGAAGGTGTGGCTGGAATGAATGAGCCGCAAGTTCAAAGTCAAGACTCCCCGGGTCGTCTTTGATCCGGTTGGCCTTCATGCTGGGAAACAATGGGGATGTCTGAACGCCCAGTGAGGCCCCTCCCGAAGAGAGGCCCGGCCCTTCTTTCTCCATCTCCCCTCCACCCCAAATATAGCTAAGGGGGTGCCTTTGACCATAGCAGGGCCCTTCCTGCAGACCGGGCAGGCTGGGCAGGCTTAAACAGCATCACTGTGGTTCCAGGGGGTGGAGACGAGTTGTCTGTCCCCTAGCCTGGCCTAGGCTCTCAAGAAAACAGACTCCAAAAAAGTGCTTGAAAACCAAGCCTGCTGGAGGGGGTGGAGGCCTCATTCCCCGCAGTTCAGCAGGTGCCGTAGCCGCGAGCCAGCACCTCGAGAAAGGCAGGCCCGAGTGGTCCCACCCACTGACAGGCGTGCGGCCGCCTCTCAGGCCCCACCTTAGACACCCACAGGGCAGGAGCACAGCAAGGGCCTCCGAGTCTGAGGAGCTGGCCCCCAGTGTGGCCTGCACAGACGTCCCGCTGACGCCTCCCACCGCCTCTGCTCTGCCTGCTTCCAGTGCCTTCCTGCAAGGGCAAGTCCACCACTCACCCCAGTCCCTCAGCCTCCCCGTCTGTCATCGCCAAGGCCTTTGGGCTTCTGGAGAAAGCCCAAGGAGAGGCCCTGGCAGCCCTCCCCTGCGGAGAGAACTCTGAAACCTGTGTGCTGGCCTCGCCCCCTCGGTCTCTTAAGTGTCCCCACACCGCTGGGCACTGCACCGTCACTCCATACCCCTAACAATGCCATTCTGTTCCCTGCAGCCTGACGCTTGGCATCAAGGTTCAATTACACACAAGAGGTTGTGCCTTTAACCCCACGCCAGAGCGCCCACTTGGGGTGTCAACGCCCGCCCCTCCAGACACCCCAGGTGCCCCTTCCCTCCAGCCCACCTGAGCCACCCTCCCCTCCATCTTCTCCCTCAGCCCTTTCCAAGCAGCAGCCTCCCACTGGCCGTCACATCCATCTCATCCTTCCCTCACACCACAATTCTAGAAAATTTGCTGGGAAAAGCCTTGGTTATCTATCAAGGTGAATTCCAACTTCACCTCTCTTCCCAACCAACTTTATAATTCTTCTCAAGCATTTGTGTGCTATTTTGGGGGGATTCATGGAATCCGGTACAGGGGAAAATAAAAAGACTTGAAACTTGCATTTTTTAGATGGGAAAACTGAGGTCCATCCAAGAAAAGAAACATACCCAGGGTCTCAAGATGAGAAAGGTGGAGCAGATCCTAGAAGCCTGGGTTCTTCTGCTCTGGCACTCTCCCTCTCCCTGTTCCTGTCCGGCAGGTCCGCGTGTGCGCTGAGAGCGGACGCTGGGGCTGGGCTACAGGCCCGCCATGCCCCGCGCGGTTCAGAAACCCATCAGGTCTCAATAGACCTGAGCGGTCTGCTCGCTGGCTTCCTCTAGTCTCCAAGAAGGAGTTAACTTATCTGAAAGAGGCTTTTATTTGAGAAGAGTGAAAATGCCCCCAGAGAATGAGAGCTGAGTCTCCCTGATGAACGGACTGAACAATTTGATTTAATCTGTGACAGTTTTATGCGGTGGCTGGAGGTGGGAGAGGGGGATGGGAGGCATAATTGCTTCTAGGAACAATAAGGAGAGGGCAAAAGAGAAATGAGTTCATTAACGTCAGCTCGGGAAATTCTTGATTTCTTTCTCCCTCTTCTTTGTGATGGCAAAGGATCCCAACTGGCTTTTGCCTCTGATTTACCCCCCAGTCTTTGGACCAATGCTGTCTTCTTTGCGTGACCTTGGGCCTCAGTTTACTCTTCTGAAAAATGACATGAGTGGAAAGGATGCTCTCCCAAGAGAACCACTTCACCCCTTTTCATTCCAGCAATCAAGACTCAATGGCTTTTTGAAAATTATGAATAAGAGTAAAGATCCATCATCACTTTCTTATGAAGTCCCACTAGACAGGATCCAAACCTTGCCTTTATGTTCTTCAGGATCAAGGGAGGGCAGTTCATGTAGGTTCTACACCCACCTTCTGGTGGGCAGTTAGCGGATGCAGACGCCATTGCATTTAACCTTCCCAGCATCCCCAGAGGCAGATATTTGTCCTTCACCTTCAGGGTGTGGAGGTCAGCCTATGCCCCCAGAGCAAGGATGCAGGGTGCCCACCCACCTCTTTTGACTTCAGAACCCACATCCTTCCCCCCAGGGCCATGCTGCTGTCTCTCCACGGGGAGGAAAAAGATGACCAAGGAACTCTGGTCAGTGAATGGCTGGCCGCCATTTGAAGAGACGCGGGGCTTGGAGAGGTCACACGCCCACAGGCAGTTGCCATCAGGAATGCAGGATGTGCCTTCTCCAGCAGGTCTCTGTCTGACCAGATCAGGGATCCTTTCCTTGCGTGCTCTGTGTTGTCTCATAAACCAGGGGCTGAGGCTTCTCAGACCCTCCCATTCCCGGGGCAGCATCCCGGGACAATTTTGTGCACCTTATCCACTTTGTGCTTCCAAAAGCCAGGCCTCCCCATTGGAACAGAAGGTAGCCCGAACCCCTTCACAGTATGCCAAGGCGGAGAGACCTGGAGGAACCCCCACCAAGGGAAAGAGGTCTGGACTGTCTAGCAAAACCAGGAATAGTCGGAAAACCTTGGTGACCGTGGGAATTAACATGAAAACCTACTTAGGAATGCAACCTCCCCTTTGGCCTTCGAAATTTCTTCCACAAAGTGTGACAGCTGTAAGCCCCTTCATGTGTCCTGCTTCTAAGATGGCGGAGCATGATGCCACAAGTGGGGAACCTCATTGTCCACCATATCCGCACACCCACAGCAGCAGTAATGACCAGAACCCCGACCTCCATGGTTGATCAGCTCTTACTCTATGCCAGGCCCTGGGCTAAGAGTTTTATAGCCGTCGTACCCTGGGTTGCTCACCACTCCCCCACTCTAGAGGAGAGAGAAATTAAGTAACTTGTCTAAGGTTAGATGACTAGTCAGAGGAAAAGCTGGGCTTCACACCTTATAACCTGTGCTCTCAACCACCACAAAAAGCTGTTCTGCTTTCCTGGTTCAGTCTAAGAACGCGACAGAAAAGTGATTTTTTTAAAGTCATCAGAGCAAACTTCAGGGACCATAAACTTTTGGGCGAAACTTCAGTACAAGAGACACGGAGGTCCCGAGGGGTCTCTTGGATGTCAGGCGGCAACCTTTGGAAGCCCAGGTCTGGGGATCTGGCTGGAGGAGCAGAAGGGCCAGGAGAGAGAGGCCAGTGAAGGCCTGCTCGGGTCTCAGCTCCCATGGCCGTTCTTAGGTGGCCTGGCCTGGTGCAAAGGTCAGGAGTGAATCATATGGAGCGCTTCCCAGCTTTTCACAGCATTATTTCACAGAACTGTTCATGCTGTAGGGCAAACCGCCCCCCACCCCCCAAAGCTAACTGTGCCTATACTGTCCCAATTTTATAAAACTTTCACATGCATGCACGTATATGTAGAAAAATATTCAGGGAAATTATTTCCAGGATGTTTCCAAGGGCTCTCTCTCTGGGCAGTGGTTTTATAGGTGAGTTTATCGATTTCTTCTTTATACCTTTCTAAAATCTCCAGATTTTCTCCCATGTGCATGAATTGCTTTTAAAATCAGAAGCAGAACTTGGGGAGAATAAGGGAGCCTTGAAAAGGGGATTTTCAAAGCAGGCAAGCCTGAGTCCAGATTCCAGCTCCCCACCTACCAGCTGTGTGTCCTTTGGCAAGTCATGGCATTTCTCTGAGCCTTGATTTTCAAATCCATAAATTTGAGATACAGATACAAGCCCCAGATGGTTGTTTTGAGGATTAAATTACAGGTCATATCTAAAGCAGAGTTAAGTTTGGTAAGATAGCTAAAAATTTACCAAAGCTGGATTCCGTGGGGGTATTGGGTGGCCAGCTAACTCACTGTGCAAGCTTGCCCTGCTGTGACTGGTACCCCGTACCCGCCCTGTTGACTTGGAACTTGCTCAGTGCTGCCTGTGCTCTGACAGTCTGCACCAGGGACGATAAGAGCTGGGGACAGGGGCTTAGCATCGGTTGATTTCCCTGCTAAGGATCTCGCAGGATTTCCGGGGGCACCCCACCACATCCTGACCTCGCTCAACAGGTGTGCCTGCCCTGTGACCCACATTGTTCCCTGCTCTCCTCTCAGGCAGGTGCAGCTGTAGGCCAGTCCCCGATGACCGCCCCCCCCCCCGACCTTGTTCTCCTTTCCCTGCATGGTGAAGGCGGCTGTGGCACAGGCATGGCTCCTGGGCACTGGGCAGGCAGGACCGATGGAGAGCAGGCAGCCAGCACAGAAAGGCGCATGCGCCACCCCGCCCTCTCCTCCTGCCTGACTCAGAGTCAGAGGCTCAAAGGGCCACTTGGAGGAGACCTTGGAATCCTCGCATCCAGGATATTTCAAACCTGCTGGTTGAAACCTTTTTAAAGAAAGATCCCCCAGAAGCTCAATATGTGAAATAGAGAAAAAAGCAAGCTGCTGGTTGGGGGTTGGGAGCTCGGCACTCCTGCCCATCCACTCCTCTGACGGGACACTGCAATCCTAGGATAGTATAAAGCGCCGATCCAAAAGTAGCAATTTAGTGCCCTCCTGTTACACAGAAAAGGCTCTGAGAAGCCAAGCAACCAGCTCAAGGGCAGTCAGTAAGTCTGGACAAGAGTCGTAATGCCATGTCTAGCGCTCTGTCCACTACAAGAGAGCCTGACCCATGTGTCCATGAACCTGTGTTCTGGCCCCTTCACCCCTGAGTGCCCAGAGGGGGATCTCATATACTCTCAGGCTAAGAGGGAGGCTCAGCTTAGCCCTAAGACCCCATTAGGATGGACACACCCTATAAGACATTTTATGGTCATTTTTGGATGTCACAGGAAGAAGCCAGATTTGGGACCGGTTGGTACTGGGGCAAATTTCAGTTTCACTTCTTATTAAGTCACTAATCCTCTTTTCATTGTTTTTTGTTTGTTTGCATTTTAAAAATTTACATAGCCGTCTCTGCCTTGCTGGGTTTTCACAAGTAAGGATCAGAGAGGGCAGGTGTCACACAGGCTGAGTGCATTTCCTGGTCTGTGTGGCTCGCCCCTGCTGACAGTAAATGTGCCACCAGCAAGTGCCTTTGTGGCCTGGACCCTGTGGCAGGAGGTCTGTGTGAAGAAGTGTC